GTACGGTGACGTGTGGGTAATCCACAATCACATTTCGGACAATAGGAAAAAGTTATCGACATCGATCTCGCTCGATAAATAGTGGAGCGGGATCCCTCTTAAAAATAAGCTCATCATTTATATATATATATAATCAGCTTTATATTGAAAATTATGCTCTACTGTGTACGGTGCTATGTAGCTAATATACCAATCACATTTCGGACAATATGGATCTCGCCCTATAAATACTGGAGTGGAATCCCTCTTAAAAAATTGGCTCATGATTTTATATTTGAGTAATACTAGGTAGACTAAATTTTGTAAATTAAAGGACACGTAAGTTGATGATTGGTTTATTACATAATGTTTAGATGTGCTTATTTGTATTTATGATACATCATTTAATTTGCAAATTTAGTCTTCAAATTTAGTCTACGTAACATTACTCTTTATATTTTCCAAACCTTTAGCAAACCAAGAAAATGAACATGCATATAAATGGCTTCCCATCCTTCGTCCTTGTGCTGAATTGCTGATCGAGAATATCAGAGAATATGATTGATAGTGAGAGAAATTTTCTTTGAAATTGCACAAGTGGACCCTAGAGGGCCTAGACCTTTTGTCATTGGCTCTTGGGAAATTTTGTTAGAGCCCTATTTTTTTTTCAGTCTCAGAATAACAATAAGGTCTATTATTGATCCAACGACATCTGTGATAGGTGATCTTTTAAAAGTTAAGGTTGCGCCATAAAACTAATTATCAATATGTGGAGTAGCTTACATATAAGTCAATGTAAGATGTTTCATCTGTCAATGTGAGATTCAATCTCGACAATCTCTATCTCTACAAACTATAATCTCTAAAGACCATCTAAAACAAAAGGAATTTTCTTTATAAAATTATTACACCATGCACGCTATTATATATAGATATATAGATGTATAGTTCTAAACTTTTATTAATCTCAATAACAATAATGTCTATGATTGATCAAAAAGATTTTTCATAGATCTCATCTATTAAATCTATGCGGTCTACAGCCGTCTAAAAGGAGAAAAATATTGATAAGACTATAATACAATATGTTACCATGCTGACTTAATAAGTCTAATCATTTGGAAAAATAAAAAGTAATTTAATTTGTACTTCTCAATGATGAGAAATTTTTGTAGTATGTAATCATAATATTGTCTGCTGGTATTAGCATTAGGTGAAAGAAATTACAAGAGAAGCAAAAATAGTATTGAAATGTTGTATGGAAATCTTATGGAGAAAAATAAAAAGAAGAAATTCACAATCTTCTTTTGATTGAAAACTTATAACTTCTTGGATATTTGTTTCAATCACCTTTTCTTTACCTCCTAAAATCCAATTCTTCCCTAAGAACCCTCTCTAAGCTTGTTTTTATTTTTCTAAAATTAAATTCTCCCTTAAGAACCCTCTCTAAACTTGTTTATTTTTCTAAAATTAGAGCTACCATGCTCTTGGAGGATTCACTATTATGCGCAATTTGATCATCAAAGAACATGTTTTCTTTATAAATATCTCTTCCTCGATAATGTTTTATTGAGCAGATGTAGAGAGAGCGTTGGTGTCATTGCTTCAAGTGGTGGTGATAGTTCTCACGATTTAGGATTGGGTTGTTTTAGGAGTTTTGTTTTCTAGGGTATTTGGGCATGGTTTGCGATAAAATTAAATTTTGGTGATATAAGATTTTTAGTTGTGTGACATTTGTCCAATGTAGTTTGTGCAATTTTTATTATATGTTTTACAATTCCAATATAATGTTAGAGTTTATGTAATGAAATTAGTTTCATTGAATAACAGAAAAAAAAAATCTAGGGCTTATTTGGTATCTTGCAAAAAATATTCATAAATTTTAAAAATATTTCTTAAGACCACCTCTTAAGAACAATTTTTTATAAAACTCAAAAACTTTTTTGAGATGAGTCAAAATTGTTTTTAAGTGCTAACAATTTTTTTTTTTTAAATCTGCCAGCAACTCCCCATTTTCCTCTTTTCTACTAGTGGCCCAAGGCGGAGGACCTAGAGAGAGAGACAGACAAAGTTAAAAGAGAGGAAGAAACAGAGAACGGCAAGAGGCAAAGAGAGAGGGTTCGAGAGAGAGGAGATCAGAAGAGATCGGGGAGAGAGAAAGAGAGATAAAGAGATAAAACAGAGAAAAGCAAAAGAGAGATGAGAGAGAAGACAATGGAGAGAGACGGGATGGAGAAAACAGGATCCAAAAAGAGAGAAAAATTTTATTGTAACCGAAATACGGGTAGTATACAACATGTTTTTATATAAGAGGTGAAAAATTTTATTATTTAAATTATTAACTTTTAACTCACATATTCTACCATTTATATAGTGACATGTGCTTTATCACCTTGTCTTCCGGTCACACTGAAAAATCTCTCCCAAAAAAGAGGAGATAAGAGTAAGTTTTTAGTTTCATAAATTTTAAAAACAAACATTTTATGTTTTCATGAAATAAGCTATATTTCAAGTTGTTTTTTAGTTCATATTTTCAAAATAATCATACCAAATAAGAATTTTAGGCTTGAGACTCAAAAATTATTTTTGAGTTAAAAGAGTTGAATTCAAGTTAAATACCAAACAGATCTAGAACTACTTTGTTTTTCACAAACTTTGGCTTTCAACAGTCAAACAATTGGAATTTGGAGTGCATAATTGAGGTTGCACTTATACCCTGATAAAATTGACTCAATCAAGCATCTAACCATGTTTTTGGTCACTTTTAATTGCGATCTAAGCTACCATCCAACCTCAACTATGATCATTGCTAGCTTTAGTAATCGGCTAATGATGGACCAATTGTCTCCTCATTTATCCTCTTTACCTAGTCAGATTAGGTACCCAAGAAATATTGAAACGGATTAATCGAAGAAAGTTAAGGTGTCATCATAAAATTAATCGGTAATATAGGGAGTAACTCAACCTTTTATGAAGTTTTGCATGGTTTTGTCCCTCACCGATGTGGGACTTTGTGCTCACGTTCTCTCACATCCTCTTATGTGTGGAGAATTTTCAATTCTAACACGCGGACAACACAAACGGGGTGAGTCGAGCACATGTGGCCGTTAAGCTTCACACACGGGCCAACTTACTCTGATTTCATGAAAAAAGTTGAGATTTCAACATAAAACTAATTGACACTATAGAGAGTACCTCAACCTTTTATAAACTCTTGCATAGTTTGTCTCTCGCCCATGTTGGACTTTGTCCTCACATTCCCAAATTAATTAACCCATCATTGGAAACACTAACTTGGCCTAATTAGCCTTTTGTGTTTGCCTTTATATATGTGTGATGATGCCATTTGATCCTTAAACCCATCACGCTTTGCCTCTTTGTTTTTAGCTTTGTGTTTACTTGGTGGAGAAGATGGCCCTTCTCGTTTCCCAATAAATTTTTTCAATACAAAAAACAAAGGCTTTAACATATACAATGCATCTTCTTGCATAATCTCCATATCAAAGGTCAAATCCTTGTCCCAAGTTACATTTTTCTGTCATCATCTTTCCTGGATTCCTGGATTTGGGTGTTTGAACACTTTTTTTAAACCATTTTTTAGTCATAATTTTTAATTACGTTAAAAGAGGGACAATGGGTGTTAGGCAGATGATTATTGTTTATAAACTTGTTTCTTTACCTAAAGCACCACGTGTAGCAATCCTAAACCAACCCTTAACGGTCAAAATTTGTGTGGCAAGGGCCCGAACGCGCTCAGCTTTTATATCTTTAGAATTTGATTGTCCAATGAAACTATTTATATTATATTTATGGATCAAATCTTTGACGGTGGCAAATCTCATGTATGACCTAGCTTTTGTAAGTATGTAATTCCATATCACTACGAATACTGCTATAAAAATAATTCTTTTTATCAAGTTTTGTTCACCAAATGATGTGTACAAAAACATTGTTTGATGAATAGACTTGGAAGAAAAACTATGTATTATTAATTTCAATTTTTAAGAGATGTGCTAACCAATGTGATCACATGATATTACTCAAATGGATGAAAAAATGACGGTTCGAGGATTTATAATTGTACAGTTAGTGCTAAGAAGACTACATAGTTAAACTATATTTGGTAAACTATATGACATAGTTGTTGATAATTAGACTATCAGTAGATACATCAAATGATTTGCAAATTTCGTCTAAACTATGTTCGGGCCTAAAAAACAAACCTTTCAACCCAAAGAAAAATGGCGATGTCATGTGTCCATGTGAGGGGAGGCTCTCAACAAATCTCAAAGGTGGTTTCCAAGACGCTTGCATCTTCTTCAAGCATATACAGGAGTTTTAAAAGCCTTTTTTATTCGTTGATGACGCGACATATCTAAACAATTCCAACTCACGGGAAGGAGGTTCGAATTTGAGTGCTCCATCATATATACGTAGCTTTATAAGAACTTTGGCCTCATGAACACGAAAATTCACAGCAAAACTCTCCAACCTAAACTTGGCAAACAGTTTGTGTTGTGTCAAACTCGTTATCTTAACGAATTCTTAATAGGTGACCCGATAACTACGTGATTCGTTAACGGATTGTGTCTGGTTAATAGATCATGCAAAAAATTGTCATGTTTAATGCCTGAATCTGGCAAACGATATCTTATTGAGTTCTTAAATGGTGACCCGATAACATCCGACATGTTAACGGATGACATGATATCGACCCAACTCATTAAGGTTAACTTGAAGCTTGTTATTTTCGTGTCATTTCCTATCAATTTAACAGGTCGTGCAAGAAATTGGTAGGCCTAATTTTCTAGCACGACCTAGTCCAATCCTTCTCTACATTCTCTTTGATAGATGTGACGTGGGTTAAATTAGTTGGCCAAGAAAACTTCAAGGTTCTAAAAAGGAATATGCCAAGAGCATTTCTTGCTAAAAAAATTCAGATGTCAAACATCAGGCTGCAGTTATAAGGCCAAGACCACTCAAGCAAACAATAGCAAATTGCAGATCTTCAAACGGACACATATTTAACCCAGCTTATGATAGATCGAAGCTCACATGAAAACAATAAATGGCAGAGCCTGTTTTCTCAATTAGAATTTCACAATTCAGCATACAATAAATTCTTCCCTCCAAGGCTTGCTTCATCACGCAAGACATTGTTTCTGTTTCCATTTATACCTTGCGGGAAACGCATTGCAGTTTTCTCTGCGAATTGATCTAAAATCGATGTTTAACAAAGAATTAAACTCTGACATTTTTTTACATGATAGCTTCCACTCAAGAATATGCCTCAGGCCATGCTAGACTGACCAAAAATCGTAGGTAAGAAATATACAAGGCAACAAAGAGGTCAGAGTCACCTCCCAAAACATCTCATTACGGAAGACGTAAGGGCAGAAGATAGGAACTTCAAACCCGCAGATCCACCAGGAAAGTACGAAACAGCATAGTAAGCAAGTGCCAGAACCTGAAAGTTTTCATTTGCACACAAGTTCAGTGTCTGGTAGGACAATTAACACTCTTTGTTAATCATCATATTTGAAAACAAATATCCAGGCAAGTAAGACATGTCGAAACAGATTCAAAAAAGCCGAATCATCAGCCAGGTGGAAAAAGAATCAAATAGTAAATCATAACGATGGAAAAGAATTAGATACCTGTAACACAGAGAAGAAAACAGAGAGAATGTAATTGTGGAGCACCATGGATACATATATGGTACCCACCATACTGCCTAAAAATCCAACAGTAAACGGAAGTCTCTGCATACATCGTGGAAGAAAAAGTACATCATCAGACAAGTAAATTAGGTGTGGGGCAGGTTACAAAGACAACTGAATAGGTACACATGCGATCGAGTTACCTCTTTTGAAGACATGTGAGCAAGCTGATTCTTTGGACCTTTGAGTGCAAAGAAGGATGCGATAATAAAGGCACACCCAAGCGTAAAGCAGATAGCAAACTTCTGAGGCATCAACACCATGACAGGAAGGAACATGGTAAATGCGATAAAAACAAAGAACACCCCAGTTGCCAGAAACAAGCCAAAATACATGAGAGCTTTTCCTGAAGGGACATTACTAGTAGCAGACTGGAGGCTCCCAGGTATATCTTTCACTCCTTTGGAAACCCTATACAGGAACCGAAAAAATCAAACAAAGACTGCAGCAATTCTTAGATAAAATAAAAACCCAGAAAACAAATCAATATTAACTTTCATCTCAAACTTGTCCATTCAGCGGGTGTAGGCAAACTATACAAAACTAGGGTACTGGGTGAATGATATGTTTCAGGCAAAGAAAGGGAGTGAATTTATATTTAAAGCTGAATAACCAGTTAGATGTTTACAATCAGAAAAACCATTCCATAGAACAACAGAACAACAAGAAAAAGCAATACGCGTGCCCTGCGCCCCCCACTCCTCCCCTTCTATCCCTAACTTCTGATTTTTGTCAATATGCCACATTGCTAGGATAACCTTTCTGCCCATCATGAAGGAACAACACAACTATTGAAATAACTGTTGGATTTTAGTCTCGCTTAGAGTTATTTGTGAATTGTGAAATTTAAGAACTTCAGATCTACTACTAAAAAACCATTGTGCATTTCGCAGCTTTTTTCTAATCATATGAAGCTGAGGCACACATATTCAGTTTACGCATTCTACTAACTTATATACACTCTGCTATGAGCTAATTTTCTCATTTCGTAAATACCTAGGCCAGCACCCTCCACTAATCCTGTAACTCATATAGCTTGGAAGCTCTTCGTTTAACTATAGTCCAATCGGACTCAGAAGCAAATTCATAGACCCTAAATCAGCATATGAAACATCATAACCAGTATGATGCACTTAATCAAATACTAATCACAGATCCAAGCACAGAAATCAGATTCCCCTCATCACATTACATACCAATCCCTATCGCAAATTTTACGAAACGGGTCAAGAAATTAGCTTATTCTACGGACTCACCAGCTCCTAAACCCCTAAAAACCAAAATCTCCATATCAGATTCACCTCAACATTTTGTCATTTACACAAACATAAACATAAACAGCCCCATACAAAATTCACCAAAAATATACACAAATATCATTAATCCAATATCAGATTCACTTATTTATACAAAAAATCCAAAACCCATGATCAAGTTCACCTAAATATGCGCAAAATCGAAAACCCAATTATCAGATCTCTTAAAAACACAGAAATTAAAAAACTCACTACCAAAATCTCCAACAAATAACCATACAGTAACTAAAATGCTGAGTTAACTAAGCAAAAAAACTATGGTCAGATACGAACGTACACGCTGAAAGTTCCGGAAACCGTGTCGTTAGCAGAACGGACCGCAGATTCGAGATCGAATCCAAGTCCCAAAGAGGAGCTCTCGTCCGTAGATTGTGAAGCGGCGTAGGAGTTCCAATCCGATAACAAGGAAGACGACGACGGTTTCTGCAAGTCATCGACGCCGCTGCCTGTCCGCGAAAACCATTCCTGCGCCATCTTCTGCATTGTGAAGAAGCTTCGCCGGGGAATTGGAAAGTCACAGACTTTGAGCTTTCGGGGAATTTAAAATCGGAAAAGGAAGGGAAAGCACGTTTCTTTTCTGGCGAGTTTCCTTGACGAAACGTCGAAACGTGTTTTTGGTTAACAGAAAAACGGCGGTGTGGCGGTTTCCCAGGATAATTGTCGCCGTCGAGGCTTACGAATTAGACATAAGGTTTGGGTGCTGCTGGCAGTGGATTTTAATTTCAATTTTGTAATTTTTTTTTTTTTTTTTTTTTTTTGTGAGATGGGAATTATTTGGGCTTGTCCTCAGCATTGGGCCTAGTGAGGTGTTTTCAAAATGGGCCATGGGCCCAATTTGCTTGTATCCGAAGTTTTTAAAATCGTAGTAATTTTCTTGCGTCGGAAGTTCTAAAATTGTATCAATTTGCTTACAATCTTAGAAGCTTTGAAATTGTACATTTGACTAAAAGATTGTTGTAGAGTTCATAGTTTTGAACGTTTGAAGACTAATTTAGCTCAAGAGAGACGGACGAAGCCGCCAACCAATCGTTGTTAGCAGCTTCTGCTTGTTCATTCCTCGTAAGTGTAATAGACTAAGAGGTTGCGCATTGCCTTAAGAATCTTAACTCCTCTAACACAAGTCCTGATGGTTGCGGTGTGGTCTGTTTCCCAGCTTTGCTTGCACGTTTGCACGATTTGCACTTCTGATTGGTTCCATCCATCCCCGACCCTTGTAGAGTTCATTTTTTAACATTTGAAGACTAATGTATAAGTCACATATGTACTACTGGGACCAAACTATGCTGTTGGTTTGGGATACGGAGCAACAATTGAGAAGTTGGAGCTTTATAAGGTCTGTTTTTAATGTGTGTGGTGCAATCGTGACTTCAACAGTTCAACGTCAACTTCATCAATTAAATCACGAATATCAAATAGCAATAAGACATAAATTGATAAGATTTTAAAATTTCGCGTGTGACATGAGAAGCTTTTTTTTTTTAATAAATATTATTTACACTAAAGAAAGGAGGTGACTTTAGTCTTACAATGAGTTAGCAATAATGTAGTTTAAATTTGCCTTTGGAAATAATTGAAGCTAAAACCTCTCACTCACAAGTGAAGATAAATATCACTAGACCGTACTACTAAGTGACACATCCGAACCCAATCCACCCCATTACCATCCCTACTCATTAATTAATTTTCATATTTAATAATGCATGATTATTAACAACTATGATTATTTTCATCAACTTAGTTAAAATTTCATCAAAATGAGTCATGTTGAAATGATCATTGCTACAGTTAGGTTAAATTTGAGGAATCATTTCTCCAACTGGTTAAAGTTAAGAGACCATTTCTTCAATTTGGTTAAAGTTGAGGGACCATTGCTACAATTTTCTCATTTTGTTTTTCATATTGCCCCTTGATTCAACCTTACGTGTGTAAGACGTGACTCATTTTGACGGAAGTTCTAACAGAGTTGACGAAAAGGACCATAGTTGCACATTTTGAAGAGTTAAGGGAACAATGGTCATGAATTTTTAGTTGAGAGATCATTACTCTAATTAGATTAAAATTGATGGACCATTGCTATAATTTTCTCTTTAAAAAAAACTGAAAACTCCTCCACAATATCTTCTTTACTTACCATTGATTTAAAATAGTTACCAAACAAGTTTAAAAAATAAAAACCAAAAACTAAACAGTAATAATGAACGGATTTATCAAACGACCTGCAAATGTTCATTATAATCCTTAAAGAGCATAAATTTAAGAATCTGTCTGATAACTATTTTATTTTCAGGTTTAAAAAAAATGAAAATTGAAGACCAAATTTAAAAAAACTTAAGAAAGTGGTTTCAGATTTTATTTTCTTTAATTGATAGTATTTTTCAAATTTCAGTTATCAAGAAGGTAAAAATAAAAACTGAAAACAAGTGTTTATCAAATAACCCTTAAATATTTCTTTTCGAAACCCAAAAATATTGCAGTAATTCAACTTCAAATTGTACAGCCACTTTCTCTACCATTGTTTGTCATTTATTCTACGTCAACAACTCCCTCCGAGACACATTACATAGAGATAGAGGTACTAGTTCTATATATGTGATGGAATACATGATAATAAGAAAATGAGAGTCCAAGTTTAATTAACAGAGTCGTTTGTACGAGCCAACATTGAAGCAAAAAAGTGAAGAAAAAAAATCGATAAATAATTAAGACCAATATTTTGTTAATTGAAGTTTGCCCTAAATAATTTTGGGATTATGATCAATAATTTTAATTTTTGGGCATTATGATCATCCAACAAGAAGAGTTTAAATTCTTTCAAATGAACGATTTGAAAGCCTATCAATCCCAACAACTTCTGGCAAAGTTGTTCATTCAAATTTTTCAACTCATAGATACGGATCTGCAGCGTATGAACCTTGCATTTTGCCTTGAAGTTGTATATTTTTTCTGAGAAGTAAAAGCTCCTCCACGCCTGCCTGATACCCGTTCCCCACTTCTCACTCCTCAGGCTATAGAACCACCATGCATTGCATGCCCTTGCAGCCCTTCCTTTTTCTGTCCCTTCTAGTTTCAAGGAAATCCTCTAGGCCACGCAGGGTACGCAAGCCACCTGCAAAATCTGTAGAGCTGAATTATTTTCTGTCGATAGGTTAGGTTGGCGCCATGATTGGTCGAACCTGCAAAGAGCCTTCTTTCACTCAGCCCCGCTTACTCCACCCCTTATCAAATACATTGCATGGGCAACGGTTATAACGGGTGAGTAACCATAATTATTTATCTATAATCTTTTATATTCATACCTGTATAACCGTTTATACGTTAGGTAATTGCATAAATGGTTATATCTATACACATAACCGTTTATAAACGATTAACCATACATATAACTGTGTACCCATTTAACCATAACCGTTTACCCATTTAACCATAATCATTTACCTGTTTATTCGTTTTTAAATCTGTTTATCATTTTTTTATCTATTTACCCATTTTTTCATCCATCTTTATATTTTTTTTAACAACTTGAAAATTACAAAAGAAAAATTTGTCATACTTTTCGTTTTTTAATAATTAAACATCGTTATAGATACATGGCCTAATCGGATAAATAGTCACCGTGGTCATAAGGTATTCGGATGATAGCCCCTGTGGTAAAAAAATTCGGATTTAAACCCCTGTAGTCTAAGTCTGTTAGGATTTATGCCCTTCTGTTAAATAATGCTGATGTGGCTGCCACGTGGCTAAAATAATAATTTTTATTTTTAAAAAAAAAACCTAAATTTTTACAAAAAAAAAAAAAAAAAAAAACCAGATCTGCAAGAAGAAGAAGAAGAAGGAAAAGGGAGAGGGAGGAGGGTCGCGCGGGGAGAGGGCTCCGGCGAGGGGGGGAGCAGGTCTCCGACGGGAAGAAGGAAGAGGGAGAGGGAGGAGTCGCGCAGGGAAGGGAGGAGTCGCGCAGGGAGAGGGAGGAGTCGCGCGGCCGGCGAGAAGAAGAAGAAGAAGGAAGAAGGAGAGGGAGAAGGGTCGCGCGGGGAGAGGGCTCTGGCGGGAAGAAGAAGAAGAAGAAGTCTGGTGGGGGGGGGGGGGGGAACAGGCGGAGGGCGGGGGAGCTTCTGGGTTTTTTTTTTTTTTTTTTTTTTTTTGTAAAAATTCAGGTTTAAAAAAAATTAAAAATTATTATTTTTGCCACGTGGCAGACATTTGGCAGCCACGTGGCATATATGTGACAACCACATCAACATTATTTAACAAAAGGGCATAAATCCTAACAGACTTAGACCACAGGGGTTTAAATCCTAACAGACTTAGATCACAGGGTTTAAATCCGAATTTTTTTACCACAGGGGCTATCATCCGAATACCTTATGACCACGGGGACCATTTATCCGATTAGACCTAGATACATTTTATCATGCATTTCTCTATTTTAATCATTAAGTCCTCGTACAATTTTAACAATTGAAATAATAGTTTACGAATGATATTTTTTTTTTTTACATCCAAGTAAGTCTTTAATTATAATTCATATGAGTACAAAATAAAGCTTCTAGAAACAAAAAGTAATCATTATCTTGAATACTAGATAATTTAAAGTTTCATAATATTCCGAAACTTAACACTTTCAAACATTAATACTTTAGCACGTTCAATCACAAAATCTTATCGATTCGTTGTCATAAAAAAAACAGGTCTACAAAAGAAATGCATATATTCACATAACTATTTTCGGTTCATGAATTATTATCGGTCAACTAAAAACTTAGCCTTTTGACCCTACACTGTCTTAAAGCAAATCAATCACAATCAGCAGGCGCTTAGGCCATCTAGTCTAGTCACTACTCCATTACCCCATCATCTCTTCAAAAGTATTTACTACTATCTACGCGAAGGAGGCAGATTGTCTATCTTTCCATTACCATGTTCTTCTCATCTTTTTCTAATTGTGCGATCACGGTTAAATCACGTTAATTTTTTATATTAATTTTTTTATAAAAATAATAAAATATGTTGACGTAACTTAACCGTGATCGTATAATGTAAAAGATGGTGAAAAGAGTATACTAATAAGAAGGCAGACAGTCAGTCTTCTTCATGGAAACCCGCTAGCTCACTCAGGCCACCTGCAAACTCTGTAAGCTGATTTATTTTTTTGTCGTGCGGTTAGGTTGGCGCCATGATAGGTGTCTCCTCTTTCCCACACAATTGCGTTTGTACCCGTAAATGTGTATATTTTATCAGTAATTATACATGCATTTCACTAAATACCATCACATTACAGTCAAACACAAACAAATGAAACATTGGCACTTCATTTTACTGTCTAAAGTTTGAATAGCAAGATTAATTATATTATTGACTAGTCTTGTGTATAAATAAAATTTAATGTGGGTGAAAGAAAAACAAATCAAACATTTGACACTTACCTCATTTTAGGTGTTTAGATTTTGTGGAAAATCATTGTGTATTTATAGGGACGCATCCATTTATGGACTCGGGTGGTCTTGAGATCATCCTGAAACCAAAGAAGCGCATGTGAGGACCACCTAACGGTTTGGACATGTGGTGGAAGAGAGAAGACCACTATTGTTGTGCAACATAATTTTTGAACTAAGAAGAAAGATCTAGTTGCAGACGAAGAGGAACATTGAAGACCATCATGGCTCTGCTGTTTTTGGACCTTGGTTTCAACAAAGAAGAAAGACTTTCTCCTTCCATTGCCCCCGTGACCAATAGCGGAGCCAGGAATTATTTAGTGGGTGGGCTAAACTAAAATTATTACTACGAGATCAAATGGTTAAATTTTTTTGTTACTTACATAATGTTACATAATAATAAGTCTGAAAGCAATAATTTAAAGTAAGAAATTTAACTATGAATAAAGCAAGTTTCAACTAGATTTAACAAAAAAAACATTTGAAGTTGCAACTTATAGTAGAAAGAAACATACGTTATCAATCTTATCATAACAACTTAACAAATAAAAGGAAAAGTGCATACTCAAGTTGTGCCATTTAATCCTTAACGGAATTGAAAGTTAACCTAACAAATTGAAAAAGTACCGATTCGGAAGGTATATAACTCTCTAATTCATCACCATCATCTCTTATTTTAAAGAATGAATCAATAATTCTTAACCTCTTCATTGAACGTTAACCTAACAAATTGAACAACAATAATACAAGTTTATATAATAAATTATATTTCTAAAAAATCTATCAAACTATCAGAAAAAAATATATTAAATTTGAAACTGAATTTTTAAATTACGAACACTTAAAATTAAAGCAATAAACAAATAAAATAATCAAGACTTAAGAATAAAGTGGCCTAAACTTACCTATTAATTAGAAAAATTAATAAACTTTCTCATTTGTATGCTAGGTTTCAGTGAACTGCAGACAAGACAGAAGCTTTCTGGAAAAATGAAAAACGACCACTGTTGTACCCCAAAGTTGAAAATAAAATAATAAACTACTCATAAGAAATGTAAAATAATAAAATATTAAATCTACTTTTATCATCCTCCTAATAAACCTAAACTAATCACTATAGATTACTCTCTAGAAACCAATGAAATAAAAAGACCTATAGACCTATAGTGTGTATGATTTGAAATATAATATTATTAAATTTCAATATTGATTAAAGTAAATAATTTTTTAATATATATTAACTATTGTTTTTTTTTTCCTAAAAGTAATCATATTTTTTAGAACTTTTACGTATTGAATGAGTTGTAAAAGTTAAAAATGGGGACAAGGGAGGCCATTATTACACATAACATGAACAAGGGAAGATGGGGTCGGATGTTTCCTCCTTGTACTTCGTTTCTTGCTTGGTCGTAACTGGCCTGTTTGCTTTATTGTAAGCTTTCTTGTTTTCTTTGACATCTCTGCCCGGGTAATGCATTATCTCGTTCATCAAAAAAAAAATTTAAAAATAATACAATAGTCTAAATTATTAGAAATTTTAACCTCAAACAATTAAAACTCTTCCAAGAGCCCACCTAACATTTTAATTGTTATTCAATGAAGTTGTTCCACTTCAACCTAACATTTTAATTGTTATTCAATGAAGTTGTTCCACATCCACCTAACGTTTTAATTAATAAAACGTTGATGCATTACTCAACTAATAGTTTTTATACTTTATGTTTCACACCGTTATTTTTTTTAATTCACTATCATTCATACGGCATGAGAAATAATAAACTCAAATTATCAATACAAGCATACCTTTTTAAAGTGCAAATAAGCACTTATTTTATGATGTATAATACATCTACTTAAATCAGTCTAGTACGCATAATCTCTATTAGATTTCATCCAATTGTATAAGCACTAAGTTTCAGCACGCTGCTAAATTAGCGTATAACATACCTTAATTAGGATCATCCGATATTAAAATTATAGATCCACTAATGTGTATGTAGTGTTACTCTTCATTGAATGAACATTGAATCATATAATTATTATTGCTCAAGAGTTATTCATTGTTGGTTGGTGTATGAAGTTTAATTATGTGGATGGGATGGAGACTTTTCAGTGCACACCCACTATATATACCAGAGCTCATCTTCTACTAAAATCAGGCTTCACTGAAACACCCAGCGGTGAAGAGGGATGGAGGTCTCTCACCAAACATTCAACCTCCCCTCTCTCACCCTTCAACGTTCCAAACTCTCCTCCCCTCTCACCCTTCAACATTCCAGGCCCTCCTTTTCTACTTGCCTTCTCTAAATTTTTTGCCCTACTGCTCGTACAAATGGGAAAGATGCTACAGTATTGCGACATTAGTGTAGTGCACGTTCTGACTTTTTTGTTAGAAGAACTCATCATTTGACAAACGAGCACCAATAAAGATTGTGGGTGAGTTTCTATTTAAATCTCTTTATTTTTGTACTAACTTTAACAATTTAAATTAATATTTAAATTTTGATTTTGTGAATTATACACTGCAGAAGTTCATGGTTGATAATTACAGGGAAATTAAGGGTGTTGATGAAGTAATTATAAAACACATGCTAAAGCAGTTTCCGTTAATATGAGAGGCTTATTTGGAAGATGCAGTATCCAAATGCAAAATTATAAGTTTATTTTTTTAAATTCAGTTTAAAGTTTAAACTTTTTAGATAAATATTTTAATGCTTGAAACTATTTAAATTATTTTAGGCATTAAAATATTTATCTAAAGAATTTTAAACTTTAAACAGAATTTAGGAAAATAAACTTACAACTTTGTATTTGGAGACTGCATCTGGCAGATAAGTCTCGCATATTAATGGAAATTGCTTTAGCATGTGTTTTATAGTTATTTCATCAGCACCCTTAGTTTCTCTGTAATCATGAACCATGAACTTCTATAATGTATTATTCACAAAAAATAAAAATAAAATATTAGTTTAATTTGTTGTAGTCACAAAAATGTAATTATAACAAAAATAGAGAGATTGAAATATAAACTCACGGTCTTTTTATGCGTTTTTGCCAAATTACTAGTCCTCAAAAGGAAGTCCGAACCTAAATGTATAGCGAAGCGCGTCCACTACGCTAACATTGCAATCTGGTAGCATCTTTCCTATTTGGACAAGCACTTCTTCTCTGTCTTTTTTAGTAACGTCCATCCGGGCCTACATAGCATGCTCATCAAAAACACCCCTTGTTATTCTCTCAAACGAGAGTATAGGTGGCGCCGAGCAGTGCGTTGATAGGCAGCTATAAACATTGCTAGAGATGCATACCGCTGAAAATTACAACAATTAAATAGAGAGAACCCTAGACCTAAAACAAATATTCAGTTTTTTATGCCTACTTTTTAACTGCACATGTAATTTACACCCTCTCATCCAAAAATTCTTCTACCCAAGTTTTTTATGCCAACTTTTGAACTTCATGTAATTGAAACATATTATCAAGATTTAGTACTTTTGAAATTCATTTGTTTTATGGTTTTATATATATGGGTATGAATTGATGTCTTCCAGGAACCTACATACCTCGTACGTGGCATTGGGAGGCTAACAACAAAATGGTATAGTGAATGCGTGTGCGCGCTACTTAGCTGTGCATTCGCATATAAGAACATTAAATAATGGCACGCACCATCTGTGCTAATACACACTGTACTACACATTTGCATTTGCATATAGGACCATAAAATAAGGTTTATATGTTGCTAACTTTGTTCCGCTTGCCTTTATTTAAACGGTCTAGATATTGTCATTTCTCTCCAATGTATCTACCCTTACTCCAATGCTTAAAAACATGCACGTTACGCCCCGGAGGAAATCAGAAAAGTAAAGGTTCGGATCTGAATTTGTAATAGCTACTGCTCTATTGCTTACGTTAGCATGTTCTGTTTTACGACTGATCTTTAGTAGCACACTTGGTTTTAATATAATACTCTGCGTGGCTTTCTGTTTTAGAGGCTCCAAGCGCATTTTGTAAGAATTGAGTCATACCAATTCACTAAGTTGTGGTTTTTTGCTAGTATGGCTTATCTAACTTTTGAGGCCGCTGGACCCGCAACTTATGAAAAGAAGTTTTACCCAGCAGCAGTTGTTTATGTAAACTTTTAAATATATCCAGGAAAAGGAACACGCCGCCCATGAAAAAGGAAATGTCATCCAAGAAAACTGAAATCCTAACGATAACCATCTCTACTCCTGTTTTTTTGTAAGTTTCTGAAATTTGAAAAATCATATGTTGGAACCGAAGGGGAAATAGTACTAAAATAGCCATTAAATTGGTGGTTTGAGTTGATTTGGAAAGGGGAACCTTGGGCATGAATGTCAAATGAGATAAAAAGATTGGAGAAGCCTGATTGGGAGAAATATTATTAATAATTTTATTTTCTTTTATGTAGGAAAATGTATTTGGAGAAAATGAAAGGGTTCAGTTGACGAAAGAATGGCAAGAATGTATGGATTTAGTGTGGAGATGCAACGGAAAGGCTAAAAGCGTGGACTAGAGAAGTTCAAAAGAATATTTAGATGCAAGTCATTTTTGCGTTATTTTTTCTTTTGCAATTTATAACTAGCTGAATTGGAATTTTCTTAAAAATTAAAATGGAAGAGTTTGGATATGTGCAAAAATTATAGTTAGAAAATGTTTGAAAATTTGATATTTAAGTTTGATACGATGAATAATCTTGGGATTAGATTGATAGTGCTTATCATATCTATCTAAGATTATTCACCGCAGCAAATTTCATTGTCAAAATTTTAAATATTTTATTCACTAAATTTTTTGCACATATCCAAACTTTTCCACTTTAATTTCTAAGGGAATTCCAATTTAACTAGTTATAAATTGCTTTAGAAAAAATAACGAAAAAAAGACTTACGTCTTAGCATGCTTCTGAACGGGAGGAAGATTCCCCTCTTTTCTCCAGTTTATGCTTTTAGCGTTTCCGTTGCGTTTCCACACTGCATCCATACATTCTTGCCACTCTTTCATCAATTGAAACTCTTCCATTTTCTCTAAATACATTTTCCTGTATAAAAGAAACTAAAATTATTAATAATTTTACTCTCTCAAATGGTACTGCTTGTTCAATCTTTTTATCTTATTTGGGATTTCCCCCTTTTCGAAACAACTCAAATCAAAAGCTCATTGGCTATTTTAGGATTGCTTTCCCTTCGAGGGTTTTTCAAATTCTGTTAACTTACAGAAAGCCGGAGTAAAGCTAGTTACCTCGTTAGGAAACAACTCAAATCAAAAGCTCATTGGCTATTTTAGGATTGCTTTCCCTTCGAGGGTTTTTCAAATTCCGTTAACTTACAGAAAGCCGGAGTAAAGCTAGTTACCTCGTTAGGATTTCAGTTTTCTTGGGCGGCATTTTCGTTTTCCTTTTTAGTGGGCGGCGTTTTCGTTTTAAATATCAGTTTTTATATAAACTTTTAAATGTTTCAGGAGTATTTATCCAATAATGGTGGAGACATTAAAAAAAATTGGCGATAAAACCTAAGAAATGGTGGAGAAATATCGAAGGCATCCGCTACTAGTGGAGACTTGTGCATCCCTAAATGAAATTGAGTGTAGTTGGTTAATTTTTTTTCATTTTTTCTCGTTTACGTTTTCTCTTTGCTTTTGTAGTTTCTTCCTTCGCTTGAATGTTTATTGAAGAATGAATTGTCAATCTTTGTAACGTAATTTATCTCAACTTTCCTTTGGATTATATGTGTTACATATTTAGTTTTCCTCACCTTTGCACTATTAAGGGTGTTTTACGTGTTCGGATTCTGTTTTGATGGTTACCATTGACTATGGTAGTGTATCGAGGAATCTCCTGTTCTTAGAAAGTGCAATTTTTTTTTTTAAATTTTAAGGAATAGAAACTCTTTAGCACATGTTAGAAAAATTAAGTTTCTTGTGTAAATGGAAAGATTGATCAATATTATAGTATCTGCGAATCTGTTAGAGGCAAAGCTAGTATTAATTTACTGCATGTTAGAAAAATTAGAGTTTACGGAATAGAAAATTTTCATTCTTTGTGATTTTATTCTTCTTATGTTGGTTTGGAAATTGTTAATTATTGTACAAATAATCCGAGCAATATTAAAAATAATCGAAGCAATATTTGATTATTTATCAAAAAATAAAATTAAGAGAAACCTATGGTCTTTGTTTGACAAAGAAAATAAAAAATTGATCATTTTTGTTCCGGTTTCTAATCAACCTAATTTTTAGACTGAAATCTTGTTAATTTAAATAGTTTGATCGAGATCGTTAACATCATTTAAGAGATTTAACTCATGCATTTAATGTTTCACAAATTATGAAATTTAAAAAAATTTAAATAATATTTTTTAAATATGATACTTAAAAATAAATATATTAGCGTAATATTGTTCTTCACAAAATTATTGCAAGAAAATAATGTACCCACATAATTATTAACATATTTAAAAAATAACTATTGATATTTTTTAAAACATAATAGAATTAGCATGGGCACATTTAACAAAATTAAAAATGGGTACAAATAAATTAAAAAATATGGGTGCAAATACAAATAAAACTTTAAAAAAATACGGGCACAAAAAGAAATTAATATATGTGTACAAATTAAAACTAAAAAGAAAATTGGTACAAACTAAAAGTAAAAATGAATGAGAAGAATATTAGTGAAAGTAACACTTGATTATAGCACAAGAATTTTTTAATCAACAACTAAATATTTTTAAAGTTTAAGCATGTTGATGCACAAAACCAGAGGTTTTGGAACAACGTAAATCCGACCGTGAATCTGCAAGAAATGTAAATAACACAAGATGTATCGTGGTTCACCCCAAGGTTTGGTCTACATCCACACTGATTGTATTTCTCTGAGAGTATTTGTGAGGGAGAGAGTGCGAGAGCTTTGCTCTAGATAGGAGAGACTTAGGGTTTGTGAGGGTGAGGAGACCTTTTTATAGAATAAGGGCTCCTCCCCTTTTTACATATTTGCCCTTTCTTTTATTACATAATTACATTTGAATCCCCCGAGTATTTATACGAGGTCTAAATACGGAGGCCCTAAGTATGGTATAAATAGTAGTCCCCCAAGTCTTCAATCAAGAGAATCTTGGCTGGGGACTTGAAATTCAGTCTATGTGTGAGCCGAAATAACTAGATGCTGTCTTAAACTAATGCTCGATATGAGGCAGTGCTCAATTTGAAATGATGTTCATCTAGAAGTTGCACATGTTGCGAAGCTGCTTGGCTTGTGGCTTATGTTGCCTTGGTTGGCTCGGCTTGTGGCGTTGAAGGTGAGGGAGTCCCTTTTATAGAATAAGGGATCGCTTCTCAATACATGAATGATGGCTAGAGTTGATGTTCACGGCGAGGCAGTTGCTCAGTAAGCGACGATGCTCTCTAATGATGGTGAGGGAGTCCCTTTTATAGAATAAGGGCTCTCTCCTCAATACATGAATAATGGCTAGAGTTTGATGTTCGCGGCAAGGTGGTTGCTCAGTAAGTGGCGATGCTCTCTAATGATGGTGAGGGAGTCCTTTTTATAGAATAAGGGCTCGCTCCTCAATACATGAATAATGGGCTATAATTGATGTTGCTCTAATGATGGTGAGGGAGTCTCTTTTATAAAATAAAGGCTCGTTCTTCAATACATAAATAATGGGCTAGAGTTGATGCTCTCTAATGATGGTGAGGGAATCCCTTTTATAAAATAAGGGCTCACTCCTCAAATACATAAATAATGGACTAGAGTCCTCCAAGTATTTTTCATGAGGCCCAGTTGAGGCCCAATATATGGTGTATAGTGTAGTCCCCCAAGTCTTCGGTCAATAGAGTCTGTTGGCCGGAGACTTCAAATTGAATCCATGTATGGGCCGAAGTGGCAGTTGTTCGGAGGCGGTATTTGTATACCCTGCACTGAAGCTTTGTAGGGGAAGCTTTGCAAGTGAAGTTTTGAAGCTAGAGCTCTGTAAATGAAGCTTTTGAAGCTAAGGCTCTATAAATGAAGCTTTTGAAGCTAAAACTCTGTAAATTTTTGCATCCACAATTCAACGTTTTTTTTTTTATAGATATTATTATTATAGAAATTTTATTATTTTTTTTTTCTTTTGAAATATATTAAATTAATGGAACATAAATTAACAATATCTTCTTTTGCAAGATTTTAGGAGTTTGGTATATATTAAATTTAATTAGTACATTAATTAGTAAATTAATTAAAAATGTAGAACACCAGTTTGATAAAATCTCTAAAAGCCTTACATGTATCAACATGCTCCTTAAAAATTCGACTGTGATCGTGATCAAATCTCTAAAAGCCTTACATGTATCAAAATCCCTAAACGCTATTGCTCCTTAAAAAGACATCGGCTTTTTTGCACCACAATTCAACGTTTTTTAAAAAATATTATTATTATAGAAATTTTATTGTTTTTTTTTTTCTTTTGAAATATATTAAATTAATGGAACATAAATTAACAATATCTTCTTTTGCAAGATTTTAGGAGTTTGGTAAATATTCGATTTAATTAGTACATTAATTAGTAAATTAATTAACAGTGTAGAACAGCAGTTTGATCAAATCTCTAAAAGCCTTACATGTATCAAAATGCTCCTTAAAAATTCGACCGTGATCGTGATTGGTACCAAAATTCAAAACTTAGTAACCCTAGATTAACTGTTTCGAATATGGCGAAGCGGTCCAATGTCCCTAATTCAGTAAGCCTAACACAACATTATGGTGCTGATGCCGCTCAAGGCTCCTCAAATACGGCCAGTGAGGGCAAGGAGTATGGGAGCCAACGGAGGAAAATTACTGCTCAAGGCGGCACGCCTGAAACGCAGGACCACCACAAGAGGGAAATTACTACTGATGGCACATCTTATGCGCCCGACGAAGTCGAGGAGTATAGGCTACGGAGGGAAATCCGTGTTGTAGGCTGGGATGATGTTCCGGACCCCATCACGACTTTCGATAACACTCGGTTTCCAGGTACCTATTATTATTTTTTCTTGTATTAAACAAAGTAACTTGTTATACAATATAATAAACATACATTTCCATTTGAATGTATATACATATATATATGTATTGAATGTTTCAATTCTTGATCATCACAGAACATGTTATACAAGAATTTTCAAAAGCTGGATTTGTTCGACCTACACCAATTCAAGCTCAAGTATGGCCAATGGATTTGGAGGACCGTGACCTTATTGGTATTGCTCAACCAGGATCCGGGAAGATGCTAGGGTATCTGATCCCTGCAATTTTCCATGTAAACTCCCAGCCAAAACGATGTGAGTATTATATATGTTAGTTATCCTTAAGATAATCAAATCCTAGCTCTATGAATCATATATTTGGTTATATATGCATCAGGAATAAAGTTTTCCATTTTATAATTTTTCTTCAGCTAGTGGTGGAGATGGCCCAATAGTATTGATTTTAGCTCTAACAACTCAACGCGCTGAACAAATCCAACAGGAGGGTGCTAAATTTGCTGCAGCTTACAACATTAAAGTCTTATCCGGCTTGTACCTGCTTAAGCATGAAAATTCTGGTCAGACTTGTGGTAGGTTGTGGTGGCAGTGAACTACATTTTACTATCTATCGCTATTGTTTTGCTACATTTTTTTTTTCTGTTAGGCATTGGTTATGGTAACATGCAATTTTGTGTAGGTGAAGATTTTAAGGGGATTTCTTGTTTGAGTACAGAGTTATTCTACTTATTGATTGCAATTAATATTTTGGCTCAGGAGGTGGGATTTTAATCGACACACTTAGTAGCTTGCTTGTTTTGTTAAAGAGCAAAAGTACGAACTTGAAAAGCGTTACATACCTTGTGTTGGATGGTGCTGATTGGATGCTATCAGACACGCATGAGCCTCAAATTCGAAATATATTATCTCAGGTTTGACATATTACCCTTACTTGGTTCTTCATCAGGTTTGACATGTTACCCTTAATGGAAAAGATAATTGGATTCCATTAAAGGGTCAGATGAACTCTTTAGCATTTTTAGATTCCCTTACACACACACACGTGTGTGTGTGTGTACATATGTGTCCACGTGTGTTTATATATCAAAGTTTATGTTCAGTTGAATTGTCATTGCTATCTATGGGTTTATTGAATGCAGATCTGTTTAGACTATCAAAAATCATTCTGGGGTGCTAGCTGGCTAGAAGAGGTTGATAAACGGGCAAAACTATTCCTTCACAACGCATGCAAAGTAATATATCTTACTATTTTCTTTTCCATCACATGTTCGTTTTTAATTGTTGTTACTGGATGAAATTGGTAGTCACATAAAGTCCTTTTAATTCTATCTTGTGATTGCAATAGTACTCTTTGCATATTTTTTCATGTGCAATACCCAATACATGTTTGATTTTAATCTTTGGATGTACAACAGGTTCAAATAGTTTCTCCAATTCTGAAAGTGACACCTCCGGTCAACCAAATTGTTTACGTCCTTACTGAAGATCAGAAATATAACAAGTAGGAGACATTCTAATGGTTGATCTTGTGCAGTTTGTTTGAGGTTAATATAACTCTGATTTATTTCAAATTTTCAGGTTGGTCGAGCTGCTAGGTGGTATATTGGATGGCAGCAGAATAGTGATATTCATGGATACAAAGAAAGGATGTGAATCACGTGATCAGATCGCCCTGCAGCTTTGCACGGACGGTCAGCACGTAGTCTTGGTTCATGAAAACGAAAGTCAAGCGGAAAGGGTCCGGATTGTCTCTGAGTTTCAAGCTGGCAAGATCCCCATAATGATTGCAACAGATGTTGCCGCTCGTGATCTAGGTATCAGTAGAATTTCTTTTAGTTTGTGAAAGACTCGAAAGGAACTCTTTTTCCTTTTTTTTTTGGTCAAGGAGGACTTATATAACAAAGTCCAAACGGACACAGTACAAAGACAGCAACCTTGTAACTGAGAAAGGAACTCTTTTTCGGTTGTGCCTCCAAAGTTGCATCTATTATTACTATTTTAATTTTATTTAGAAAGACATTTACATTCTTCAATCACGTCACAGTTGAAGGCTTTATTTGATTTAAGAGTCGACATCCACCTTTCCAAAATCATGTCCTGTTAGTAACCTAGGGTTTGTTTGTTTACTGTGGGGGTTGCAGGTGTGACAACCTGGCAAATTTTCGTTGAATGCATTTATCCTGTGAAATGGCCAGAAGCCTTGTTTCTAATCATCTGTTTCATGCTTAATTTGCAGATCTGAAGGATGTGAAATATGTTATCAATTACGACTTTCCGGGATCCCTTGATGATTATGTTTACCACATTGACTGCTTTGGAAGTGCTGCAGCAAAAGGAACAGCATACACATTCTTTACAACTGCTAATGCTGGATGCGCAAAGGGACTTACCATCTTACTCAAGAAAGCTGGACAGAATGTTAGTTCTGAATTGGAACAACTGGGGCGTGATGTAACATATCCAGGTCAGTAATTACAAACACTAGAGTAAATAATGTTGTACACACATTGTCATATACACATGTGATGGGTAAATTATTCAATTTCAGGTTCAGTTATGGTTAATGTGGTATCCGTCTAGAACCCTTACCCGAAAGGAAACTGTTTTCATTTTTTAATAAAAGAATATAAACATTTATTATATGGAGAACTGTTTACCAATAATCATGTATTATTAAATTTGGAAGTCCGTGCTGGTAATTATATGCATTATATCATTATTAGTATAAATTATATGCTTATCAATGATCAGTAATTATTTTCTTGGTAATAAATATTTAATAATATTTGCTATATGCATTATATCAATTGTATTAGTAGTAGTAGTCTATTTAATCTCATTTTTATTAAAAATCCACTATCTAATTAGTATATAATAAATATGAAAATACCGTAATAGAGAAAACTGCTACCCAATGAAAAATCTGTCATCTATGGGTTGGGTTAGGTGAAAACCCATTTAGGAATTCTACGGTTTTGAGTTCATAAAAAATAAACGGTTTCGAATATGGAGATGACACATCAAAATCCGATTCGCACATCCTGTCCTACGCGCACCCTGTAGACTAGATGCTTTCATGTGATTTCTTAGGGTATTAAATAAATTTTGTTGCTTTGATCTGACACTTCTCTTGCCACCATTCTTCATTTAAGCCTAAAACTTGTTTAGCCGCCCTACTCCAAATAGTGATGGTTGGTAGTACTTTAGAAATTCATTTCTTTTTTGGATTTATGATATGGGTATGAATTGATGTCTTCTAGGAACCTACATACCTCGGACGTGGCGCTGGGAGGCTAACAACAAAATGGTATATGTGAATTTGTGTGCGCGCTCTACTTGGCTGCATCTTATTACTTTCCTGTGCAATTGCATTTAAGAAGATTAAATAATGGCATGCACCATCTGTGCGAATACAGAGTGTACTACACATTTGCATTTGCATGTAGGACCATAAAATAAGGTCTATATGTTGCTAACTTTGTTCCACTTGCCTTTATTTAAACAAACTGGATATGGTCATTTCTCTCCTATGTATCTGCCTTACCCCAATACTGAAAAACATGCACGTTACGCCCTGGAGGAAATCAGGAAAATAAAGGTTCTAATCTGAATTTGTAATAGCTGCTGCTCTATTTTTACGTTAGCATGTTCTGTTTTACGAGTAATCTTTAATAGCTCACTTGTTTTAATATAATATTCTGCATGGCTTTCCTTTTTAGGGGCTCCAAGCGCATTTTGTGAGAGTGGTGGAGGCATACGAATTCTCTACCTTGTGTTTTTTTGTTAGTATGACTTATCTTACTTTTGAGGCCGCTGACCCCGCAACTTACGAAAAGAAGCTTTACCGAGCAATAGTTGTTAAGGCGAGTGGCAAAAAGGATTTGATGTTGTTTGGTATGGTCAATTCTGATGGCCGTTTGTCAAAAATGCATGACATCAGAGAGGGAGTCGAATATCCAAGTAAGTATCAGCTGTCTGAAGCGCTTAAAATTCAAAGAATTTTCAAATTAGTGATATCTGGGGTTCTTAATTAATTATCATGCATTTCATTTGTCAGTCTATAGTATCTGGCGAGAAGACGATGAGGACGATGAAGACAATGAAGACGACAATGAAGATGAGGATGAAGACGACAATGAAGATGACGATGAAGACGGCAGTGAATGATGGGGCACCAGTCTCATTGACAATAAGTGGTAAATTTGATGTTTTATTATGTTTGCGATTTTATTTTTGAAACTTTATATGTAATAAAGGAGAAAACTTATCTGCACTGATGTATATATATATATATCATAAATTTAATGATTTGCAGACAACTGTTATTGCAATGGTTAAGAGAATGGAAGGAGTCGGCCGGGGCGGGGCTACTGCAGGCTAGGGCAACCCTAACATGACTCTGGATATTGATTAGGCTTGTTTTGGAGACCGTAAATTATGTAATATGTGGTTGTGTTTGGATATGAGAGTTGGAAAACCCAATGACCATGTGTTAGACTTCAGTAGACCTAAACTAACTAATTTCGACGTTGTTTGAACAACAGTTTTGATACTACTGGGTGTCAATGGTTGCTTCGTTTGCTATGTCACGTTTACACAAAGGTAATCCGAATCAAAACTCCGAATTAAATTCCGATTCAGAATACGTCAATGTCTAACAAACATAAACATTGAGAATAAAAAAGTTGGCGGGATTCACCCAAATTTTAGAATTCATCTCTAAAATTTGGAGGAATTGGATTCTCTATGTTTAGGTGGTATTTGAATTCCTGATTTTTTAGAGAATCAGAATGAATTTTTTTCCTTATTATACCTTCACTTATTTCTAAAATGATCATTTTAGTTCCGGTCCTTAGTTAACCTAATTGTTAAAATGAAACCTTGTTTGTTTAAATAGTTTAATTGAGGTCCCTAAAATCATTTAAGAAATTTAACTCTTACATTTATGCATTTAATGTCCTATTATGAAATTTAAACAAATTCAAATAATATTTTTACAATATAATAATTACTTAAAAATCAATAATATAATTATTGTTGCAGTCATATTTGGAATAGGAATGTGATTGTGTAAATCCTAGCATATCTAGGAATATCTTTTAGATTCCTATTAGGAGTTAGTATCTTAATTAAGTTGTAATCCTAAAAGGGTAAGGATTCTACCTATCCTACTACTATAAATAAAGACACAATGGGGGTGATACAACACACACCTTAAGATTAAATCTCTCTCTTCTCTCTCTTTGCCGCCGGCCTCTCTCCCTCTCTTGTCCTAAATACAGTTCAGTTAAATAGGCCTACAACACGTTATAAGCACGCTCTTGCCAGAAGCTAAGGAACTGAAGGATCGTAGGAGGAGGCTTTCTTCCACAAAATTCAAAGACTTTTTTTTTTTTGCCAATCATGTACGCTTAAAATAAATGAAGATATTTGAAACGTTCGTAAAACATGAAAACATTCCCCATGATGCATGAACCCCTTACATTTATATTTACCTTCCAATATATATATACACGTTTCATGCATTACGCAATTATTTTCTATGTGGAATTTGTGAGTTAAAGCATCTAAATAAATTAGAAGCAATTTAAGGTTTTAAACCCTAGGGATGTCCAAAAAAAAAAAATTGGGATTATGGCACCACTGCAGCCACCATGGGCACCACTGCTAGCATCGTTGTTGGCTTGAAGCCTAGCCGTGCCGTGCCATTAGACCCCTGCAGCAAGCCCAAAGTGCCGTGCCATTAGACCCCTGCAGCAGCCCTTTGGGCTTGCTGCCACTGTACCACAACTCATGGGCCAGAAGCCCGATGTCCAAAATCGAAGCCTATAGCCAGCAAGCCTTTCCTACTAGGCCCCCGCGTCTCAGACGTGTCTTCCACAGCCAGCCTAAGTGGATGGGCTATGCTCACATATAACTCGACCTGCCTGTAGCAACCCTTGCGAGATGGGCTTGTCCTTGTCTCGGCTCACATCTCGGCCTGTGTCCTCCACAGCTAGCCCAAGTGGATGTGCTATGCCCACATGCGACTCGGCTTGCCTGCAGCAGCCCTTGCAAGCTGAGTTTGGTCATCTTTGAAACAATTGGCAAAAGAAACTGCAAGCTCTTCATCTGAGCTCGAGCACAATGATGAGTTGGAACAGATCACTATAGCACGACGCCCTTCCCTGCATAACCGCATAATCTAGATAGAGGAGTTTAAGTCAAATCCAAGCTTAGCATCGTTGCTCTAATCAAAGAGCTCGAGAAGCTTTAATAGTCTTTCGCTGACACCATCGCCGAAGAGCAAAGCCTCATTGTGCAACACCGTCAAATCGTCCCCATCGCCAAGAAACTCTCATCTTCCTTGTCCGGATCTTCCAGCCCAGTTTAGATCAAGCCTGTGGAAAGTTAACAAGCGCAACAAAACACATGTCGATTCATCCGCTAATTCTTCAAAAGCAAAGGTATCTCATATCATGCTTGTTATTTGCCTTTGTTTTTATCTGTAAGACAATGAGAAAGAGAGTAATCAATCGGAACCTGAAATCAAATTTCTGATCTGGAACTGATGCTTGAAACCTTTCCCTTATTGATTACCTTGCATTGCTCTCGAGTAGTCATCTTCAGTTATTGATATACTTTTAGAGATGATACCACTTCTGCCTAGAGAACAGATAAGGCAAGTGAAAATGATACATCGAATCCGTGGAGAGTCAACAAGCACAACAAATACACGTGCCAATTCATCCCCAGCAAAGTTGAAAATCACCCACCACGTGAAACTGCTCGTGGTCCAATTTTATTCAAGATAAAGCCCCCGACGTTCCTTGAAGAAACTTTCAGCCTAATTCAAGACCAAGCCTCAACGACCCTTGAAGAAGCTCCCAACCCAATTCAAGATCAAGGCTCAACAGCCTTTGAATCGACATCTATATTGAAGAACTTCAGGACACATCTTCTACTTGTGACTATGGTCTAAAATATCCATAATATCCCGATATTTTCATCGAAATTTCCGTGTTTTTGGACTACCGATATTTCCGATATCATCGATATTTTAGACCTTGCTAAGTCACTCATGAATCTTACCATGCAATGTATAAAGTGTAAAATATTGTACTAATTCATTATATATATAAATGATTATGGTGTGTTTAAACTTCTTTCATTAATTACTACATATTTTCTATACTCACAATGTTTGCCAGCTCGCTATATAATCAACTTAAATCAGTTATATCTATCATGCAATGCATTTCCTTCCAATTTTATGTGATAAACTAATAGATAATTGACTAAATAAACATCCTGCAAAGTTTCAATAAAAATTTCCAAGTTTTTCTTATAATTTCTGTGGTTTTTATTCAATTTTTATCGATATCGATAATATCCCGATATTTCCATCGAAATTTTCTTGTTTTGGACTACCGATATTTCCGATATCATCGATATTTTATACCTTTTGTGACAAGTACATGTATACAACGTGCTTTGAAGTGAGGACATTTGTAGACATTGAAATTTCGGTGAAATATGACACGCCCCAATCCCGATATTCCTCGAATACCAGGATAAGCACATGCTGGCCGACACTCGAAGGTAGACCTATTCTTCGTGAATGTGCCTCCGCCCTCATTGGTTCACGTTGATGTACGGAAGAGGGCCCACATTAATGGTTTTGTTTTCCTTTTTCAATTTTTTTTAATATGAAAAGGAAACAAAAGGGTAGGTGGTCTGAACGATAAAACCCTAAACCCACTCTCTTTTGACAGAGCTCCCCATTTTCTAAAGCCAGCTCTCACTCTTTTGCCAGAGCTCCCATTTTCTAAAACCAGCGCTCTCAGTGAAGGGGGAGAGAGATAGGGAAAATGCCGCCCAGAAAAACGAAAGCTCAGCCTAAGAAAACTGAAATACAAATGAGGTAACTAGCTCTACTCCTGTTTTTTGTAAGTTTTTGGAATTTGAAAAATCCTATGTTGGAACCGAAGGGAAAACTGTCCTAAAATAGTCATTGAGCTTTGTTTTGATTCGGAAAGGGGAACCATAGACGGGAATTCCAAATGAGATAGAAAGATTGGAGAAGCAATTAATAATTTAGAAAACTAGATTTTAGTCCTTAAAAATGATTACTTTTAGGCAAATACCGTAAGGAAGTTAAAAACTAATTTTAGTCGTTTGACTCGTGTCCAAATCAGCATTTATATTCCATGTCATAATTAATTTCTTTTACATAATTTTACTATGTTTTGTCTTCCTATATTACCCCTAAATATTGCTATTAAATGGTTCACAATAGAATGATTTTTTTTTTTTAAATTCAAAATGAGCATCCGGCATTTAAAGATGCAACATCAAAGGAATTAGAGATTAGGCTTCTTAGAAAAAAAGATTAGGCTTTTGCAATTGAAAACGGGATTAGGTAATTACGATTTCCCCTTTTTCTCATCATTTGTAGTAGGTCTCTCTCTATTTTCTTTCTTGGTTTTGAATGGTATATGGCTTGTGTATGTATGTGGATTCCAACGATTTGCAACGAAGAGAATGGGTTCAGTAATTTTTTTTTTTGTGGCATTGTGCTTGTGATATTTCTTATTTTATTAGTTTTTGTTGTTATTTTGTGTTGGTTGATTTTATTATCGGGTTTTGATCATTTTGTCAGTTTATGAATTGTTGATTTTGGAGTTGGGTTTGATCTCTTGCATCTATACTATGATAAGTTAGACACATTTGATTGGGTTTGATCTATGTCATCATGATTATTATAACTCATATTTTGTTATTTTTAAACTCTTTAATGGCTCTTTTTGTTCCCATTGTGCCCCTCTAATTAATTATTCGACCTTTTTGGTAAGTTCCAAATTATTATAAACTCATTTTTACTTTGATTAATTTATGCTTGATTTCTTCCATGATTATGGTGCCTGAAAAGATTTTTCATATCATCATGCCTAAATTACAAGATGAAAAAAAGTTAAGGTATCACATGTATAATACACCAAAAAAGTGTATGTATCTACATATTAGTACCTAGCTAAACACACCTAAATTATAGTACCTAGTTGAAAACACCTAATCATAGTATCTAGTTGAAGGCACCTAAATTATAGTACCTGGTTGAACGCACCTAACCGAATACATCTACGTTATAGTACATAATCGAATGCATCTACATTATAGTACCTAATCAAATGTGTCTAACTTATCATACCTAATCGAGTATAGATGCAATAGATCAAACCCAACTCCAAAATCAACAATTCATAAACTGACAAAATGATCAAAACCCGATAATAAAATCAACCAACACAAAATAACAACAAAAACTAATAAAATAAGAAATATCACAAGCACAATGCCACAAAAAAAATAAAAATTTACTGAACCCATTCTCTTCGTTGGAATCCACATACATACACAAGCCATATACCATTCAAAACCAAGAAAGAAAATAGAGAGAGACCTACTACAAATGATGAGAAAAAGGGGAAATCGTAATTACCTAATCCTGTTTTCAATTGCAAAAGCCTAATCTTTTTTTCTAAGAAGCCTAATCTCTAATTCCTTTGATGTTGCATCTTTAAATGCCGGATGCTCATTTTGAATTTAAAAAAAAAAATCATTCTATTGTGAACCATTTAATAGCAATATTTAGGGGTAATATAGGAAGACAAAACATAGTAAAATTATGTAAAAGAAATTAATTATGACGTGGAATATAAATGCTGATTTGGACACGAGTCAAATGACTAAAATTAGTTTTTAATCTTCCTTACCGTATTTGCCTAAAAGTAATCATTTTTAAGGACTAAAATCTAGTTTTCTAAATTATTAATTGCTTCTCCAATCTAAGATTGATCAAACATAGTAAAATGGAGAATAACCACATTAATTTGGGACACCAATTTTCAGAGACTACATTAATCGATTTTCAATTTCTAAACCATCTTAATGAAGTGAGTCAATTTTAAGGACCGTCTGTGATGAAAATCCTATTATTTTTATTAAACTATTAATATCTCTTTAAACTCAAATTTACTTACTAAACTACCACCGTACACCCAATTCAATATATAAATTTATATATACACCCATTTAAAAAGTAAAATCCAAAATTAAAGCTATGTTCTCTTCTCTCCTTCCAATAAGTATGTCTTTCCTTTTAATTCTCCGTGATTTAATAAAGCTAGAAATCAAAATTAAAATCAGAATTAATAAATAGGGTTTTTATCACAAATGATCTCTAAGATTGATCAAACTCATCATTTTGGTCCCTCATTTTTAAAATCAATTAATGTCGTCCATGATATTCACTATCGGACATCAAATTTTTCATTCCATTAAGATTTCGTCAACTATTTTGTTAGTTTGTATATGGGACCCACAAATTCAATGAAATGGTGGCACGTGGATTACACAGAATAAAGATTTTTATCGCAAATGGTCCCTAACATTGATCCAACTTCTTATTATGTAGTGGGATTTTTATGGCAAATATTGATGAATTTTAACGGAATGACTAAATGGATATGCAGTAGTGAAAGTCAGGACCACATTTATCGATTTTTGAAACTTAGGGACGAAAATGAGGAGTTGGATCAATGTCAAGGACCATTTGTGATAAAAATCCTTATTTTGTGTAATCCACGTGTCACCATTTTATTCGATTCGTGGTTCATACATACAAACTAACAGAATAGTTAACGAAATCTTAATGGAATGATGAAATTGATGTGGGGTAGTGAAAGTCAAGGATTACATTGATTGATATTGAAAGTAAAAAACAAAAATGATGAGTTTGATCAATCGCAATGACCATTTGTGATAAAAACCCTAATAAAAATCGGTGAGAATTAATCCCTCCAATCAGACTCTTTCCTCTGCAGAACAAAACAACAGCACAAGCCCAATCGAATAAAGGAAGAAATAAAAATGAAAATTACGGTGTTGGTGGTCCCAAGTCCACATGATATCTGAACATAAAAAAGAAGTAGGAATAAGACATGATAACACAATCCAATCAAATAATGGACTTGATCCAAATCGAACTAGGTCGGCAGCGATCAGAAACCTAAATAAAAGCAACAAACAGTCTCACCTGGTTAAAATTTCGAGCGTTATCGTAATTCAAAATTCCGTAACCCAATAAATCTTTAGTCGTGATCGGAACACAAGTGATACATCACGTATTTTAATAAAAATAATAATTTTTTTTATTTTTTTAAGTAATTAACTTTTTAACATACTATCTCATAATTTATTTAATAACACGTGATATACCATCCGTGTACCGGTGATAATATTGAAAAATCTCTCCCGTAACCCTAGCTAGCTATCTCGAATATGGCGACGCGCTCCGATGACCGTCGGACAAAAAGAAGGTAACTCCTCTCTCTATCCCCTCTCTCTCTCTCTCTCATATGAGGAATTGTGGGTACGAATTTAAATTTGCTAAATTTTGTTAGTACTTAGCTGGTTACCCGGCCGAGAGGTGATTGAAAAAATTCATAAGTTTGTGATGTTTGTTTCAGCGGGTTGGACGCTTTTGGTGGTGGTGCTACGGGAGGCTGTCGTCGCTCGGCACGGTTAGCACAGCATTATGTTGTTGCTGCTGCCGCTCAAGGCTCCTCAAATACTGCCGGCGAGGGCAAGGAGTATAGGAGCCAGCGGAGGAAAATTACCGCTCAAGGCGGCCCGTCTGAAACGCAGGGCCACCACAAGAGGGAAATTACTACTGATGGCACCTCTTACACGCCCGACGACCTCGTCGAGGAGTATAGGCTACGGAGGGGAATCCGTGTTGTAGGCTGGGATGATGCTCCAAACCCCATCAGAACTTTTGATCACACTCGGCTTCCGGGTACTTCTTTTTTTTCTTGTATTAAACAAATTAACTTGTTATACAATATATCAAACATAAATTAATTTCCCTTTGAATGTATACATATATGTATTGAATTGTTCAATTCTCTTGATCATCACAGAAAATGTTATACAAGAATTTTCAAAAGCTGGATTTGTTAGACCTACACCAATTCAAGCTCAAGTATGGCCAATGGATTTGGAGGACCGTGACCTCATTGGTATTGCTCAACCAGGATCCGGGAAGATGCTAGCGTATCTGATCCCTGCAATTCTCCATGCAAACTCACAGCCAAAACGATGTGAGTTTTATATATGTTAGTTATCCTTGAGATAATCAAATCCTGGCTCTTTGAATCATATATTTGGTTATATATGCATCGGGAATAAAGTTATCCATTTTATAATTTTTCTTCAGCTCGTGGTGGAGATGGCCCAATAGTATTGATTTTAGCTCCAAACACTCAACGCGCTGAACAAATCCATCAAGAGTGTGCTAAATTTGCTGCTGCTTACAACATTAAAGTCTTATTCGGCTTGTCCCTGCTTAAGCCTGAAAATTGTGGTCAGACTTGTGGTGGTGGTGGTGGTGGTGAACTGCATTTTACTATCTATTGCTATTATTGTGCTGCTGTGACGGAATTTCATGCGTTGGACCTTTACTACTTGTTTTTCTGTTATAGGCATTGTTTAAGGGGATTTCTTCTTTGAGTATACAGTTTTTCTACTTATTGATTGCAATTCATATTTTGGCTCAGGAGGTGGGATTTTAATCTACACACTTGGTGGCTTGCTTCTTTCGTTAAAGAGAAAACGTACAAACTTGAAAAGCGTCACATACCTTGTGTTGGATGGTGCTGATTGGATGCTATCAGACACGCATGAGCCTCAAATACGAAATCTATTATCTGAGGTTTGACATGTTACCATTACTTGGTTCTTCATACCTGCATTGCTATTTTTTTAACGTCAATCTCTTGAAAAGCTGGAAAAGATTATTGGATTCCATTAAAGAGTCAGATGAACTCTTTAGCATTTTTGAATTCCCTTACACACATACATGCGTGTAACTGTGTGTACATACGTGTGTGCGTGTGTGTTTATATACCAAAGTTTATGTTCAGTTGAAATTCTCATTGCTGTCTATGGGTTTGTTGAATACAGATTCGTGAAGACTGTCAAAAATCATTCTGGGGTAGTAGCTGGCCAGAAGATGTTGATAAACGGGCAAAACTATTCCTTCACAACCCATGCAAAGTAATGTATCTTACTATTTTTTTTATTTTTATTTTTTATTTTTTGCATCACATAGTCGTTTTTAATTGTTGTTACTGGATGAAATTGGTGGTCACAAAATGTCCTTTTAGTTCTATCTTGTGATTACAATAGTACTCTTTGGCGTATTTTTTTCATGTGCGTACCCAATACATGTTTGATATTAACCTTTGGATGTTCAACAGGTTCAAATAATTTCTCCAGATCTGAAAGTGACACCTCCGGTGGACCAAATTGTTTACGTCCTTACTGAGGATCAGAAATATAACAAGTAGGGGACATTCTAATGGTTGACCCCCAGTTTGTTTGAGGTTATATATATCTCTGATTATTTCAAATTTTCAGGTTGGTTGCGCTGCTAGATGGTATATTGGATGGCAGCAGAGTAGTGATATTCATGGATACAAAGAAAGGATGTGAATCACAAGATCACATCGCTCTGCAGCTTTGCACGGACGGTCTGCACGCAGTCTCGTTTCATGAAAACAAAAGTCAAGCGGAAAGGGTCAGTATTGCCTCTGAGTTTCAAGCTGGCAAGATCCCCATAATGATTGCAACAGATGTAGCCGCTCATGTTCTAGGTATCAATAGAATTTCTTTTAGTTTGTGAAAGACTCGAAAGGAACTCTGTTTTTTTTTTTTTTTTTTTTTTTTTTTTTTTTTTTTTTTGTGCCTCAACAGTTGCATCTATTATTACTATTATAATTTTATCCAGAAAGAAATTTACGTTCTTCAATCTCGTCACAGTTGAAGGCTTTGTTTGATTTACTAGTCGACATCTCCCTTTCCAAAATCATGTCCTGTTAGTAACCTAGGGTTTGTTTGTTTACTATGGGGGTTGCAGGTGTGTCAACCTGGCAATTTTTTGTTGAATGCATTTATCCTGTGAAATGGCCAGAAGCCTTGTTTCTAATAATCCGTTTTATGCTTAATTTGCAGATCTGAAGGATGTGAAATATGTTATCAATTACGACTTTCCAGGATCCCTTGATGATTATGTTTACCGCATTGACCGTTTTGGAAGTGCTGCAGCAGAAGGAACAGCATACACATTCTTTACAACTGCTAATGCTGGATGCGCAAAGGGACTTACCATCTTACTCAAGAAAGCTGGACAGAATGTTAGTTCTGAATTGGAACAACTGGGGCGTGATGTAACATATCCAGGTCAGTAACTACAAACGGTAGAGTCAATGATGTTGTACACACATTGTCATATACACACGTGATGGGTAAATTATTTGGTTTAAGGTTTAGTTATGGTTACTGTGGTATCCGTTCAGAACCCACAACCGAAATGAAACCATTTTCATTTTTTAATAAAAGAATATAAATATTTATTATATGAAGAACAGGTTATCAATAATTATGCATTATTAAATTTGGAAGTCCTGGTAATTATATGCATTAATGATATTAATAGTATAAATTATATGCTTATCAATTATTTGTAGTACACATGTTTTCTTGGTAATATAAATATTTAATAATATTTGTTATATGCATTACATCAATTGTATTAGTAGTAGGAGTATAATCTCATTTTTATTTAAAATCCACTATCTAATTAGTATATAAATAAATATAAATATCATAATGGAAAAAACTGTTACCCAATGAAAAATCCTTTATTTGATGGGTTGGGTTACGCAAATACCTGTCGAGGGATTCTACCGTTTTGGATGGGAATGGCACGTCAGAACCCGATCCACCCCATTGCCATCCTGTCCTACCTACACCCTGTATATGCTTTCGTGTGATTTCTTGGGGGTATTAAATAAATTTTTGGGAGCCTTGATCTTATACTTCTCTTGCCGCCCTTCTTCATTTAAGCCTAAAACTTGTTTAGCTGCTCTACTCCAAATATTGACGTTGGTACTGTTTTTTTTTTTTGGTGGTTTATGGTTCGGGTATGATGCAAACATATGGTTAATCTTTGACTTCCGACTATTTATTTATTTGGGTATGATTGACGGCGAAACATATTATCAAGATATAGTCCTTTTGGAATTCAATTCTTTTTTGGATTTATGATATGGTATGAACTGATATCTTCCAGGAACCTACATACCTCCGTTGCGGCGCTGGGTGCCTAACAACAAAATGGTTATGTGAATATGTGTGCGCGCGCTACTTGGCTGCAGCTTATTACTTAACTGTGCATTTGCGTACAAGACCATAAAATAAGGTCTATATGTTGCTAACTTTGTTCCGCTTGCCTTTATTTAAACAGACTGGACCTGGTCATTTCTCTCCAATGTATCTGCCTTCTCCGAGGCCTGAAATACATGCCCGTTATGCCCTGGAGGAAATCAGAAAAGTAAAGGTTCGGATCTGAATTTGTAATGGCTGCTGCACTATTTCTTACGTTAGCATGTTCTGTTTTAGGAGTAATCTTTAATAGCGCACTTGTTTTAATATAATACTCTGCATGGTTTTCTTTTTTAGGGGCTCCAAGCGCATTTTGTGAGAGTGGTGGAGGCATACCAATTCACTACCTTGTGTTTTTTTGCTAGAATGGCTTATCTAACTTTTGAGGCAGCTGACCCCACGACTTATGAAAAGAAGCTTTACCAAGCAATAGTTGTTGAGGCGAGTGACAAAAAGGAAACGATGTTGTTTGGTCTGGTCAATTCTGATGGCCGTTTGTCAAAAATGCATGACACTAGAGAGGGATTCGAATATCCAAGTAAGTATCAGTTGTCTGAAGCACTTAAAATTCAGAGAACTTTCAAATTAGTAATGTTTGGGGTTCTTAACTATCATGCATTTCATTTGTCAGTCTATAGTATCTGGCTAGAAGACGATGAAGAGGATGAAGATGATGAAGACGATGAGAACAATGAAGACGATGATGACGATGAAGACGATGATGACGATGAAGACAATGAAGAAGACGACGATGAATGATGGGTCACTAGTCTCATTGACAATAAGAGGTAAATTTGATGTATATATATCATAAATTTAATGGTTTGCAGGCAACTGTTATTGCAATGGTTAAGAGAATGGAAGGAGCCGGCCGGGGCGTGGCTACTGCAGGCTAGGGCAACCCTAACATGAACGTGGAGATTGATTAGGCTTTTTTGGGAGACCGTAAATTATGTAATATACGGTTGTGTTTGGATATGAGAGTTGGAAAACCCAATGACTGTATTAGACTTCAGTAACAAATATGACCTAAACTAACTAATTTAGACGTTGTTTGGACAGCAGAACTTTGATACTTGAATGTTTGACGAACGTTGGGAATCAACAAGTTCCGGGACTTTGAATTTTTAGTTCAACTCCGAATTTTAGAGGAATTAATCTGCACAATCTGTACCTTGAATCCTGACACCGCTGGGAAGCTTTAATGTTTTGAATGCTTCAATTTCCAAACAAAAATCACATGAGACTCGAAATTTTCCAATATAAGAAGCTCAACATAACCTTTGCATCCCTAATTATGACCTAAATTTCACGTACAAATCGAAAACACAAAATGGAAACAAACGAAGACAGGATGTGCTAGAACTCGGCATTGGTGCCGCAAAAACAGGATGTGCTAGAACTGGGCAGAATCCCATGAACTGCAAAAACAGCCTTCTTGGCAATGTTTTCGGCGGTGGTGAGGGAAATCGTTCATGCAAGGTCCTGGCCACGTTAATTTTAGATTGATCTTTCTCAACATAACTGGTTCAAGCAACATAATCAACCAACTCCCCTTTAAACCAAAATATCAATTACCAGATGACATAAAATTTGGTCACTGCAATCTAAAACTATTGTAACAATGAAGACTGAAAAGCAACTTGCTTTTAGATTCAGTAAAGTGGGAAAGATCACATAAATTTAGTTTTCTAACATCTAACACTACCATCTTCAACGAGGTCACTGCGGAAGTATACCGCGTCCATCACGCATAGTCAAGTGAAAGAAATTGAAACACATGACAATACCAGAATGACTTGATATGTTACCATTTTAGCATATTATCATACTGACATTCCGGTGTAGGTAAGTTTCTTGCAAGAAACCAAATATATATGTCAAGATGGCGAAACCTTTACCTTGGAATTGTTCTGAGAGAAGAATGGAGCTGGAGTAGGGTTTGCAATGAGAGAGCTTCCATTGGCAAATGGGAGTTGAAGAACTTGGAGATAGCGGATAAAATGTGGGGAGCTTGAGAAAGCATGGTGAATTTTCCTACTGAGTTTCAATGTCCATATAACACCATATGGACCGTTATTTTGGAGCCATAGAAAAAAGTAGGTATAGTGTTAAGTTTTGTTTGAAATATTTTAAAAATGATTTAAAGCGTTTTTAAATAAAATGTTTTTGGGTTTCAAAAACGTTTAAAGTACTTCATACGAGAAGCAAAAGTTATGTGTTTCTTGCATAAAGCAATAAAAGATTTTTTTTTTTTCAAAATTCACTTGTCATTTTACCAAGAATTGGTTTCAAAAATTTTAACAAAAAAGCTTTTAGCTATTTCCAAATGAGCGCTAAGTCTATACGAAAAAGAAAATAATTATATCCGTGAAAAAGATCAACCATTAATTTCAAAAAGAAGAAAATTAACCATACTTTAAGATCTAATGTTGATTGATATGAAATGAAGTTGAATGATAAAATACAAATTAATATTTTGATTTAGTGGTATTTTCTTTGTTAAGAGGTCGCACTTGGTGCGATGGCAAGTGCCTTCGCCCATGAGCGGTAGGTCTCAGGTTCGAGACTTGGGAGCAGCCTCTCCATAAATGGGGGTAAGGCTAGCCAACATTCACCTCTCCCAGACCCTGCGTAAAGCGGGAGCCTTGTGCACTGAGTACGACCTTTTAGTAGTATTTTCTTTGTTAATGTCAGAAACTCAAGTACGAAGATGTCATTATTATCTATTCTAAACTTGGAGGGGAATTGGCCTGTTCATGGTGCGGTGCTTGGTGTGGCAATGCGAGACACAGAGAGAGTTTGAGAAGCATCGATTAATTTTTTGGATAAAAGAAACGGAATGAAGCAGAAGACTCGAGAAGAGGCATCTTCAATGATGATGAACGCTCTACAAACAAAATCCCTAAAATCACAAAATCCATTTGTAAATCCAAAATCGTAATAATGAAATTAAAACAAAACAAAAAGGAAATTAAGAGAGGAAGGGAGAATAGAGAGAGAGATCGAAGTACCGTTAGTTAAGAGTGGACGACGTCGGTTATCGGAGCACAGTAATCCCTGAAGATCTCTTCCGCCGTTGGCGGATTTGAGCCCATCTCCCTACTCCTCTCCTCCATCTCACCGAAGCTCTTGAGTTATAGAAATGGAGGTGAGTTTGTGTGGTTTTGGTTTTAGGAAGCAGAAGCCGATGCTATTCCAGAGATGGTGTTGTGGCTACTAGAGTAGGAGAGAGAAAGGAAGAGTGAGAGATGAGAGGAGAGCGCACGCTTGTAACCCAGTAATCTGTGCCAAACCAAACGGACAAAATTACCCTCCCAACCCAGCCCCATTTGGCTGGTATTGTTGTAAATAGCATGAAATTGAGTGGCTCCGTGCTAAACCATGCGGATGTCATTTTACTAAGAATTGGTTCCAAAAATTTAAACAAAAAAAGCTTTTAGCTATTTCCAAATGAGCGCCAAGTCTATGCTAAAAAGAAAATAATTATATCTGTGAAAAAGATCAACCATTAATTTCAAAAAGAAGAAAATTAACCATACTTTTAGATTTAATGTTGATTGATATGAAATGAAGTTGAATGATAAAATACAAATTACTATTTTGATTTAGTGGTATTTTCTTTGTTAATGTCAGAAATTCAAGTACGAAGATGTCATTATTATTTATTCTAAAATTGGAGGGGAATTGGCCTGTTTATGGCTACAGTCAAGAAAATGCCACTCGATTTCACTCTATTTACAAAAATGCCAGCCAAATTAGGATGGGTTGGGAGGGTAACTCTCAAAAGTTCAAAGGGTGATTTTGTCCGCATGGTTTAGCACGGTGCCACTCGATTTCATGCTATTCACAACAATACCAGCCAAATGGGGCTGGGTTGGGAGGGTAATTTTGTCCGTTTGGTCTGTAAGGGGTGTGCTATCCACACACCCCTTTTTACTTTTCCCACACCCTTTGTTAATTTCTGTCCTTTGATCTTCTTTAATTTATCTGATCCAACAATCGAAAATTAAAAAGGTGTGAGAGAAGTAAAAGGGGGTGTGTGAATATCACACCCCTTTCTGTAACTCAAGAACTTCGGTGAGATGAAGGAGAGGAGCAGGGAGATAGGCTCGAGTCTGCCAATGGCAGAAGAGATCTTCAGGGATTACTGTGCTCCAAAAACCAACACCGTCCACTCTTTAACTAACAGTACTTCAATCTCTCTCTATTCTCCCGTTCTCTCTTAATTTCCTTTTTGTTTTGTTTGAATTTCATTTTTGTGATTTTGGATTTACAAATGGATTTTGTGTTCAAATTTCTTTTTGTGATTTTGGGGATTTTGTTTGTAGAGTGTTCATCATCGTTGAAGATGCCTCTTCTCAAGTCTTCTGCTTCATTCCATTTCTCTCATTCAAAAAATTAATCGTTGCTTCTCAAACTCTCTGTGTGACTCGCATCTCGCACTGCCACACCAGGCGCCGCAGCCGCCCAAAGGTAGGGTCTCCAAAGGCGGCATTTTGTAAAACCCTCCCTACTCAAGGCAAGTAATTTCATGCCCAATTTGGAATTTAAATGTATTTATTTATTTTTAATTGATTTGGGGTAACTGAAATCAGCTATGAAAAATTTGCTACTGTCTGAGAAAACTCAAGACTACAGTTTTTGAAAAGCTGCTTAATTAAAGTGAAATTTCAAGTCTTGAACTTTGAATTTGTCTATATGTAGCTCAGCTAAAGTTATCTACGTCGTAGTTTAAAGGATTTGTATTGGTAATTATGTGTTTAAGTTGCGCAAATGAGTTGCCCCAATATTGATGTTTTGGCAGGCATTGGAAAAAATATTGAAATTGGTTTTCGCTCAATGCACAGTTAATCTTAAAATACGGTTTATTAAATTGGGTTCATGAATATATGGGTGGTAGCAAATTAGCAACGACGAGACTTGAAAGGAATAGGCTCATGAGAGACTTCAACAGCTGCAACAGGACCCACTTGCAGGGATTAGCGCGGAGCCCCAGGATAACAATATAATGTTGTGGAATGCTATTATATTGGGGTAAGTTGGAAAAATACAGTGCATAAAAGAAATCTACTGTTGTTTTCTCTTCTATTATGCAACATTAATATTTCATTTTTTCGGTAGGAGACTCAATAAGTTAGAAAATGCTTATATTTCTTATTTTTGGAACTCTTTATCTCATTGTTTCTTGAGTAGTTTTCTGGAAGTAAGAAAAAATGGGCATTTGTAAGTCCTATCAATTTTCAATTTTTATTTTTCTTGCTTTTATTTTAGTTTCTTATTACTAATTTTAATTTTGGGTGTATTTTTTATGATGGTTGTCAAACGATGTTGTTTTGACAGGTTTGATCATGTATATAAGTATTTGATAGTGAATACATGCAGAATGCTTCACAATTGAAAAGAAGTAGATATTTTTAGGGAAGATTTTAGTCGATCTCCTTTTGTCGCAATGCCAATGTACGGTTCTTATCATGTAAATTGGTTGACTAAAATGTTAGTGTATGCAAAAAGGTTGTTGATGATGTTGGTTCTTTTCTGTAATTGAATTAGGAGTTGCTATTGTACTCTTAAGCATAACATCTGTCTACCAATGACATATTATATTGCTTTCTACAGCTGCCAGTGCCTAAACCTCCAACAAATGGAAACTTTTGTTAGGTAAATTATTATTGCAAAAGCTGAACAGTACCTTTACTCAGTTTTTTTATTTTTTATTTTTTTGCTTTCTTCTTCCCTCCTTCAAGGCTTTGTTTTGGTTCTGTGGCCATTTGGTCATTGAGAAATGTAGTTGGATTTAAGATTTTGCGAAATTGGAACATCTTTAGGAAAATGATAGAATTTGGGATTGGACCTATGAAGTTGTTATAAGAAAAGTCATAGGTATCCACGGACATGATTGCTATCCGTTTGAATTTTGTCACAATAAATTTCCCTTGAGCATAATGGTTGCACTGAATTCGTTTTCTGATGATTCAATTTTGGGTTTGAAAAATGCTCACTGTTTTAAATTTGAAATTCTGTTGATTTTCCATTCAGGTTGAACAAAAATATCTCCAGAATTCCCCTTTTTTTAATGGTGTTGTTAGGGTAAATTTTCTTTATTCTTCTTGCAGATTAATTTTCGATGGATTATGTCGTTTGAGTAGTATGGATTATGTCGTTTGAGTAGTATGCAAGCCGGATATTGTATCTTTGAGAATGCTTATGGTGTATAGTTCTGCATAAGTTGATTTTAGGAGTGGTATGTAACCGTATATGGAGCTTCGTGGTGCATGCACTGGAAATTTTATGATTTAGGATTTTTTTTCGATTTCCTCCCTGTAGTTGTTTTATGTATGGTGGATGAATTGAATTTGGAAGTAAAGCAACTCAATGGTTGTTTTTTTTTTATTGCAAGAATGCTACTAGAAGAATGACAGATTTTATCATATGACTGTCATTGAAGATTTATCTTGAATCTGGACAGGTTTTTGTCAATTGTTATTTACGAAGGTTGTGACTGTTCGTGCTCGCACCAAAATAAAGTTTGTAGAAGGTTGCTAACCAACGATAAAAGGTAGCTTGCAATTTTTATTTTAATGAATCTTATTAAATGCATTTGAGTACCACAAAAATTTACTCAATTATTTATTAGAAAAATCACTATCTTCACTAAAACTGTTATTCATTTACATTAACAACTCTTTTTTTTTTCTTTCCAATTTGTAACAGAGAAGCATGTCTATCATGAAAAATAAAAGACGGCAGTTCTGAAGTGACGACCAAGATAGTTTAGAAGTGTAATATAGTTGTAAACATGAATGTAAACTATGGATGAAAAATGTTAATACAATTCTGATTCTGGACGACTCATGCGAATTTTATCTGAATTTGAATAATTTTTTATCTGGGTGTACAATTACATTTGTGATTTGTTGTTTATGTGGTGAAAAAATAAGATGGCTTTATACTTTATACTTTTTATGAGACTTAATTTTGAGTTTTGAATTTGAGTTCTCATGCAAGAAGAAAGGTCACTTGAGTTTTGAGTTCCCATATATTTTCATTGTTTCATTTATACATCTGTTGGAGAAACTCCGTCTGTGTAAATTTATCTTACATTGTTGGTCCCAAGCCCGAATAAAGGAGGAGGGGGAGGGCGTCAGGTAGTCGACAGTCGGCACTCCTAGGTTACGTCGAATCCTCATGAAAATGAATCCAGAACGAAATTGTGCTAAAACTAGGGCGTCACCTGTAAATGGCGCGTTGTGTGGCCTGAGCACAGTGATAAATGTGCAAGGATTGCTGTATCTCCATCGGCACTCGAATGCAGTGTTAAATGCGCAAGGGGGTCATAAAAACTTCTTTTTGAACGATTCCACTCAAAGTTGTTTGGAAGCATATGCTCCTATCAACTTTACACATGACACACAAAAGAAGTACTTTGATCCTATTAGACGGGGGAGGGTGAAGAAGTTAGGACATAAGGGTAGAGTTCAAAAGGGTAGAATTTTAGCCGACCTCACTTAGTAGGAAAATACTTTGTTGTTGTTGTTGTTGGATAATTGGAGGGGATTGGGAGGCAGATGAGTGAGACTTCTGATGGTTACACAAAAATAAATGGTCTCTCACATCTTGAGCCAAATTACTCTGGGTTTTGGCAGGTATGAATGATTCCAGCCTTTTTTTAGAGGAACTATGTTGTCCATATCAATCAGAATATTCTGTTATTATGATCAATTACATAGGGTTAGGCCAACTAAAATGGCTAGACAGAAAAAATGGTCCTAATTGTTCACTCTAATGATGTTGGCAAGTAACGTTGATTGTTCTAAACGTTGGCGGTGCTTCTGTTTTCCATAATGTAAGCCCAAGATTATGCGATGGTGCTCAATTTGGATTTGTTGCATAGCTAGAAAGATGATCTTGCAGTCATTGTTGAATACAGTTATATGCCAAGGTATTGATTCTTTCGAATCCCAATTTAAAAAAGTCAGATTTATATATATTTTGCATAATTATAATTAGTCTACTTGGGTTAGCTTAAGATTACATAGAACAGCCTACTAGAGCCGGCCCCTGAGGGTGTGTAACAAGTGCCACCGCACAGGCCCCCGATTCAGAAGGGCCCCTAAATTTTCCTTATATATATACAGATGCATATAAAATAATTAGATGCAAAAGACAATCTTATCTATGTTTGTAGCGCAAGCAGTTTAGCTCTTCTTTCTTATAGCCCATGTGCTGGGTTCGAATCCCAGTGATATTGTTTTGTTATATTTTAAACTTTTGCAAATTTGTAAACAGGAAATAACAAAAATGCATCCAACGTGTATCAAACTCAGGACCTTTGAAGGTAAGGAAAAACACCTGGCTGATCAAACAACTTATTTTTGTTGCAGTAACTTGTAATATTTTAGTTTTATAGATGAAAATTTTAAAAATAATAATAATAAAGAAATATAACATTAAAAAAAATGAAGGGCATCAATCTAAGTTTTGCATAGGTCCCTCAATACTCAGGGCCGGCCCTAAGGCTACTACATGGGGGAATAAATCTTTCTTATAGTATGCATATCCATATATAGCAAGCAAAGTTTCACTTCCTTGGTTCTTAGGCACTAGACCGTCTTTCCTTTAGCTTATAATTAGCTGCTCATGAATTCTTGGCATCTTATTTTATTATTCTTATTGGGGTGTTTTATAGCACCATAGATATTTTCAAGGAGCTTCCTCAGTTTGTTGTCTAATGTTGGTTAATTTTAAGTAATATTTATGGTGTAGATTGGGAAAACAAACTTGAGGTATTAATTTTTCAGAGATGGTTTATGCTTGAAATTAGCCATGTTTTTATATCTTCCAACATTCTGTTTTCTTGGAGTTACCATGTCCTTGAAAACTTGTTGAAACAACAATGGAACAGTTTTTTGTTTTTTGTTAACTGCTTAAAGAGTTGTCAGGCCTATAGGCCATATATTTTGCCACCTTAACTGCAAGGGCAAAATATGTGTGGATTGCATCATGCTTCTGTTTCTTATGGAAATAGGCGTCCTACGTTTTTTTTTTCATTGAACATTAGTGCTTGAAAGCTTAGCTGTTGAAACAAAAATGGAATACTTTTAATGTTTTTTTGTTAACTGCTAAAACATGCGGCTGGCCTGCATGACATATATTTTGCCATCTTAACTTCAGAGGCAATATATATGTGAACTGCATGTTGCTTCTGTTTTTTTTTTTTTTTTTTTTTTTTGAAAGGAATTGCTTTTGTTTCTTATGGAAACAGATTTTTTTGCAACCACATCTTTTGTAATCAAGAACGTTCAACTTCGTCATGTTAATTGTACAATATCTTTTCATATCAACTATGTTGAATGTATAACCAAGCTCTTATCTTACCGACCTCTTTCACTCATCTATTTCTTTGTTCATTCATGATTATGTTTAATTTATTCAGTTAAATGTGTCTTATTCATACAGTTAAGGCTAGTGCATTCAAGTCCCACAACAACACGCATGCATATTTTCTAGTTCTTTCTATTTATAAAGATAAATTATATTTTCACTATCACAAATGTAATGAGTTTGAGTATAACGTAAAGTAAGATTGTAAAAATGCGTATTTCATGAAAGAACTAAATCAAATAACGTAAAAAATAAACTTTTTTTTTGTCAAATGATATATTTGTATAAAAAAAACCTGGGATTTCACAATTTTGTAACCTTCAACCAATGAACCTACATTAGATTTTCTTGATTGATTAGATTTTGAAAATATCATTCAACCAAGTCTTTCGTATTAATTGTTTTTTTTTAACTAGATAGTGTTAGAAGGTTTTATTTATTAAATATCTGACTGCAAGACTAATAAATATTGTTAACTACTTAAACTACAAATCTTTATGAAAAAAGGTCGCAATCTTTGTGTTTAGGTATTATAAGTACATGGAAATTACCAAATCATTTTCTTATAAAAGAAGAAAAAAAAAAAAGGGGATTCCATCTGTCGTACAGGTGGAGTCCGACTCTTTGGCTGTGGCTGCCTGCAATGGAGGTACAAAATGACCTTTCAATTATGGGTTTTGTTGCTTCTGATATTAAGTAGTTGGCTTCCGAGTTACAAGAGTGAAGTGTTTGGAGAATGATTCTCTCCCCTATTAATCTCTTTTCCATTTCTTCGTCTCATACTTAAACGGTTACGTGGTCAATATTTTATATGGATTTTTTTTTATAAACAATAAGATAAAAAACAATGTGTGAGAGGAGGGGAAGAAAAGAATTGAGAATATGAAGAAAGAGAATCCTACTCCGTAGTATTTTGTATATTTGGCGAAATTGTGAGTGAGTGGTTCATTGCCTCGTCAAGTTAAGGTTATATTAGGGCTGGGTTCGGTTCTTATCGGTTCGGTTTTTTGCCAAAACCGAAACCAAACCGAAATTTCGGTTCGGTTCGGTTCGGCCCCAATTTTTTCGGTTTTTTTTCGGTTCGGTTTTTTTTTCGGTTCGGATTTTTCGGTTCGGTTTCGGTTTTTTTTTCGGTTTTTTTCAGCCCAAATTCACCATCTTATCGGAAGCCCACCCAAGCAAAACCCCAACCAAACCAGAAAGATCTGCTTATCTCCCACTCCAGTTAAATTCCCTTCCATTCACTTCCTCAAACTCACCACGAACAATGGATCATCTCGCCTCCCTCCTCATCCTTCTCTTTCTCCTATCCTCCGCACTCACCTCCGTCGCAGTTCCCAACGACGTCGACCCTCTCATCCAACAAGTCGTTTTGGAATCCGACGACGATCAGCTCCTCCACGCCGAGCGCCATTTCTCCAGCTTCAAAGCCACCTTCGGAAAGACCTATGCGACTCAGGAGGAGCACGACTACAGATTCGGCGTCTTCAAGGCCAACCTCTGTCGCGCCAAGCGGCACCAGGCGCTCGACCCTACCGCGGTCCACGGCGTCACCAAGTTCTCCGATCTCACTCCCAAGGAGTTTCGCCGGAACTTTCTCGGACTCAAACGTCGCCTCTGGCTTCCGGCCGACGCTAACAAGGCCCCGATACTTCCCACTGGTGATCTTCCCGCCGACTTTGATTGGCGCGACAAACCTGCTCGTCCTTCTCGTCCTTCTCGCGAGCCTCGCGTTCGGCTTCGATGAAGCTCTTCACAGAGAGACAGAGAAAGTGAGAGAGATGAGGCAGGGAATGAGAGAGAGAAGAGAGGAATGAAAAAAATAAAAGGTGCGGCTAGGTTAAAACTTAAAAGGTTTGTATAGCTCAAAAAAACTAAAAAACTTTTCTGAAACCCTGGAGGCATGAGGATTCGAACCCATGCGCAGGGGCTTGAAGAGTTTCAAGCAAACCAACTTGGTAACTGGTTATGTCTTGTTATGATTGTATCACTGAATTATTTATAATATTGAAACAAAATTAAATATATATATCTTTTCGGTTCGGTTCGGTTTGGTTCGGTTTCCGAACCTTAAAAACCGAAACCAAACCAGCCAGATTCGGTTCGGTTCGGTTTGGCAGTTTCGGTTCGGTTTTTTTCGGCCTCGGTTCGGTTTGGTTTTCGGTTTTTTTCGGTTTTCGGTTATTTGAACCCACCCCTAGGTTATATAATGGTGATTCTATAGTTTGGTTTGAGAAATCTCCAGATGTTATAAAAGAGAGATTTTTCAATGTGCTAGAAATATAAGATGCTACGCCATATATTATATACCAGTGTTGAGAATTATTTTTCAAGTATCTCTTAACTTGTATGATAACATATATATATCGTATATGTTTATATTCCATATACACCTAAAAATATGTCGTTATAAAGGAAATACTCTACCAAGATTCTGTATTTTAGTCGAAATTTCTTCGTCACTAAGGCTATCGTTTTTTTCAAAAGTAAAAGGAGAAGAATCATTCAAACGTGAACTTCTTGGCAAGTTTCGGATTCAAACTCCCCTTTTTCCTCTTTGATTCTCTTATTGGGGCAATTTTTCAACACAAAGAGCCAAACCCCTCAAATTCGAACAGTCTAGATCCGACACGTGGCACTTCAGCGGCCCAGGTCTAACGGAACAGGAATTCCCCAACCCGTACGCGAACCGGACCCCGAAAATTCCTATTAAAAAATCAGATCCAATTAATTAGCGAAAAATAGCAAATCGAAGGATCTAGAAACCCTAGTCAAGTCTCCTATATAATCCCTCGCCTCCATCACTCCAGGAACCACTATCTCCTACGCTCCCTCTCTTTCTTTACGACGTCGTCTCCAAAACCCTAGATCTTCAGAAAATCCTTGTACGCGAGATCAATGGCGGAGGCTGAGACGTTTGCCTTCCAGGCCGAGATCAACCAGCTTCTGAGTTTGATCATCAACACCTTCTACAGCAACAAGGAGATCTTTCTCCGTGAGCTCATCAGCAATGCTTCTGATGTGAGTCTTCGATCCTTTTGCTGTTCTATTTGTTTTCAGTTTCGGTGTTTTTGGGGTTTCTTGTATGAATCGTTGCGTTGTATGTTTGAATTTGGAATTGGGGCGTTTAGATTCTGCGATTGATTCTGGTTAGGTTGGATTAGAGATCTGAACATGTTGATTTAGATGCTAAAGTATGTAGATTTGTTCTGTAATCTACGATTTTGATCTGTTTATTTGAAATTTTCGATTACTGTAGAAAGAGTCTTGCGTTAGATCTCTTGTTGTGGCCTGAAAATACTGTAGAATTTGTGATTAAGGGTTTCCGGGTTTCGATTAATGTTAGGATTTTGATATATTCTGGGATTATGTAGTTCATCCTTAAAGCCAGTTATTAAGTTCAATTGGGTATAAATTTTGTATATGTTACTGAGTTTTATACAAGTAGTTATTTTTATTTTAAAGTTACAGACCGTTTTTGAAATTGTTTTCGTAATTTATACAAATAGTGATCTTGGTTTTTAAAGGTGTGGAAATTGTGTAGTTAAATATTTTTTATGTGTTTTGTCTTAATGTGATTTCTTTTGTTGAGATAGATGAAATTTGGCACTCTTTTTACTTATTTGTTTATGTTATGTATACAGGCTCTTGATAAGATTAGATTTGAGAGCTTGACCGACAAGAGCAAGCTCGATGGCCAGCCAGAGCTCTTCATCCATATCATCCCTGACAAAGCCAGCAACACATTGACCATTATCGACAGTGGTATTGGGATGACCAAAGCTGGTACGTTGGTTTTCACTATTTGATTTGTTATTTAATGTTTGATTTTTGATTCGTTTATTTGATGCTAATCCAATTGGGATTTTGTACTTATGGTTTTAATCTTGATTTGTGATGTCAGATTTGGTGAACAACCTCGGTACCATTGCTAGGTCTGGCACCAAGGAGTTCATGGAAGCCTTGGCTGCTGGTGCTGATGTTAGCATGATCGGTCAGTTCGGTGTTGGGTTCTACTCTGCATACCTTGTTGCTGATAAGGTCATTGTTACCGCCAAGCACAATGACGATGAGCAGTATGTGTGGGAGTCTCAGGCTGGTGGCTCATTCACTGTGACCAGAGACACCACTGGTGAGGTTCTCGGCAGGGGTACAAAGATCACCCTTTACCTTAAGGAGGACCAGCTTGAGTACCTTGAGGAGCGTCGCCTCAAGGATTTGATCAAGAAGCACTCTGAGTTCATCAGCTACCCAATCTCTCTGTGGATTGAGAAGACCACCGAGAAGGAGATTTCTGATGACGAGGATGAGGAAGAAAAGAAAGAAGAGGAAGGAAAGGTTGAGGAAGTTGACGAGGAGAAAGAGAAGGAAGAGAAGAAAAAGAAGAAGATCCAGGAGGTTTCCCATGAATGGTCTTTGGTTAACAAGCAGAAGCCTATCTGGATGAGGAAGCCAGAGGAGATCACCAAGGAAGAGTACTCTGCCTTTTACAAGAGTCTCACCAATGACTGGGAGGAGCACCTTTCTGTGAAGCACTTTTCGGTTGAGGGTCAGCTTGAGTTCAAGGCTGTCCTCTTCGTCCCGAAGAGGGCTCCATTCGATCTGTTCGACACCAAGAAGAAGCCCAACAACATCAAGCTCTATGTCCGCCGTGTCTTCATCATGGACAACTGTGAGGAGTTGATCCCAGAATACCTTGGCTTTGTTAAGGGTATTGTCGACTCTGAGGATCTTCCCCTTAACATCTCAAGAGAAACGTTGCAGCAGAACAAGATCTTGAAGGTCATCCGCAAGAACTTGGTTAAGAAGTGCATTGAGATGTTCCAGGAAATTGCTGAGAACAAGGAGGACTACAATAAGTTCTACGAGTCCTTCTCCAAGAACCTCAAGCTTGGAATCCATGAGGACTCCCAGAACAAGACCAAGCTTGCCGAGTTGCTGAGATACCACTCCACCAAGAGCGGTGAGGAGATGACCAGCCTTAAGGACTATGTGACAAGGATGAAGGAGGGCCAGCAAGACATCTACTACATCACTGGTGAGAGCAAGAAGGCTGTTGAGAACTCTCCATTCCTTGAGAAGCTAAAGAAGAAGGGTTACGAGGTTCTCTTCATGGTTGACGCCATTGATGAGTATGCTGTTGGTCAGCTCAAGGAATTCGAGGGCAAGAAGCTTGTCTCAGCCACCAAGGAAGGTCTAAAGCTTGATGAGAGCGAAGACGAGACCAAGAAGAAGGAAGAGCTCAAGGAGAAATTCGAGGGTCTCTGCAAGGTCGTCAAGGATGTGTTGGGTGACAGAGTCGAGAAGGTTGTGGTGTCTGACCGTGTGGTCGATTCTCCCTGCTGTTTGGTGACCGGCGAGTATGGCTGGACTGCCAACATGGAAAGAATCATGAAGGCTCAGGCTTTGAGGGATAACAGCATGGCCGGCTACATGTCTTCCAAGAAGACCATGGAGATCAACCCCGAGAACCCGATCATGGAGGAGCTCAGGAAGAGGGCTGATGCAGATAAGAACGACAAGTCGGTGAAGGACCTTGTCCTCCTCCTGTTCGAGACTTCTCTTCTCACCTCCGGGTTCAGCCTCGACGACCCCAACACCTTCGGCAACAGGATCCACAGGATGTTGAAGCTTGGACTGAGCATTGATGATGACGCTGTGGAGGGCGACGCAGAGATGCCACCATTGGAGGACGCTGATGCTGATGCAGAGGGCAGCAAGATGGAGGAAGTCGATTAAGTTTCTTGAGTGATTTAACCCCCCACCCAGCCAGCAGTAGTTTTTCTTACCCCACCCCCTTAAGTAGTTATTTTTCTTTTAAATTCTAAGTTTTTGTATTTTTGGACGGTTTACTACTGTCTGGTATCGGATATTATAATTACCTTTTTTTATTAATGTTTGCGTTTTGGAACAATTATCTCTTGTGGCTCTTTGTCCTTTGTTATCTTATATTTTAAAAAAAATTAACCGGAAGTTAGAAAAAACTTTAATTTTAATGAAAAAAGATAAATAAGATTGGTTTCTTATATGATTTTTGGTTAAAAGTAAATCGTATTGGTAGTGTTTCGCTAAAAATTTTTATATTTTAATTAAGAGTTTATGTACACATGGGGCATATCTGGATTATTGGTTTCTTAATTTCTATAAGTAATATTCTCTTACAAATTAGGAGAAATTATAGCAGTAGTTAAAGTTCAATTAAAATATATAATTATTGGTTTTTATTAGAATATGAGTCAAAATGAGTCGCACGTAAGCTGAACTAAGAAGTAAATATGAAAACAAAATAAAAATTTATATTAGTAATTTCTCAACTTTAATTCAATCGGAGTAATAGTTTCTAAATTTTAACCTAATTGAAAAAATGTTCTTTCAACTTTAGCCTAACTATAGCAATTGTTTATTTCGCCATGACTTATTTTTTACTGAATTTGACAGAGTTGACAAAAATAATTATAGCTGTACGTTTTAATGAGTTAAAGAATCAATGAACATAGATTTTTTGTTATTAAGTGTTATTGCTCTAATTTTATTAAAGTTGAATATCCATTACTATAAATTATAGACGGACTTGCATAGACGGGGTGTCATTGTCATGATGCCTTCGCCTACTAAAGCAATGTTGATTGGGACGCTACCATATGGTTTCTTGGATCGAAAAGGTTGACGCGGTTTCATTGAGAGAGATTGGGGACAATTGGGTAGCACTAGCTTTTGTTTTACCAACGTCTTCTTTTTACCTTCTGCTTGTTTAATGGCAAGTTGTCCTCTTTGTTGGGCTTGCTGCTGGATCTGATCTAACAATAATTTAGTACTTTCCTTTGTTAGAGGAAGTCGTTGAGTTCAAATTTCATGATCGACAATTACTTACGAAAGAAATAACATGTTTTCATATTTAAGTATATATTCAAACATAAGTATCGGTCTCGAATATGAAACTTTGATTATCCCGTAAGATTTCTTGATCGATTTGCCAGAAAATCCAAAAACGAAAACCAACAGTTTGATTTATTAAGTTCAAATCGGAGATTCAGAACGAGTAGTCCGCTTCTCACATTGAGAATGAAAAGCATCCTGTCAAAGCGCGTAGTCAAATTGATTGAACAGTGTTCTTCTTCTGCAATCTAAGTTTAAATTTCACTTCTCGTAGATTAGTGCAATCACCAACTGCAACTTGCGTTGTTAGCGGTATGACTGTCACACTTGTATATTTCTTGGAGCGTCACATCTTTATCGTTTTACTTCATTTTCAACATCAAAAGCAGATAGAAGGCAGAAATTCTTCATTGGGCCAAATTATATCAAGTGGACAGACATTTTCCAGAGTATCAATGAATGACAAATTGCAAGATACCAAAGAACTTGCACTTGCACTTTTCTATCTTTTACGTCCCAAAATCATACTAGTGTGCCTCTCTACAATTCAAATTCAGTCTCGTAAGAAGCCGAAATCGGAAGCCACAATATACTTGACAGGCAACTTCAGTCGTCGTCGTCGATCATAAAATACACACAAAGAAACAACGAATATGAAGGCGTAAAAAATTTCTACTTCACCCTTTTACACAATAGCGAGCCCCTCCCATTCTTCAGAAACATGCAAACCACAACTGAATCAAAGAATGATGTCTGTTGGAGCTTAAAAACGGAAGTTTTCAACTTCAGGTGTCGTCCACTTGTGAGTGAAATACGAAGCTCGGGAATGTTGTGGTGATGTCTCTGCTCAGAACACAAAACACCTGATGGTCAGAAGTGTATAGTAACACGCAGTTGAATCTGCTATAATGAGTTCAGTTAAATCTCAAACTTAGTGCTCGTAAAGATTTCTAACGTATTCAGTTTAAAGTTTTTCGGTGGCAATGATCGTTTGCTGGCTGTCCATCACAGGAAAATCAAAACCAAAGCAGATATCGTAGATATATCTTGAGCCCTGTGGCTATAAGCATACACGAACATAACAAAGTTGATTTACAAAACCATGGTGTTTCAAAATCATTTCCACAAGACCTGTCTTTGTATGGCCGGGAAAATTTATCTTGTTCTCAGCAGGCATATAAAGTAGGGTCATTTGTAAGAACAATGACTTGTGGGCAACTGCAATGAGTATTATATCTGAAACTTACTTGAGGTATTGGAGGGTCATATTTTTAAGAAGGGACGGGTGCCGCAAAACAAGGCTTCTCCACTCTTCCTTGTCGATCCTCCCGTCATGTTTTGTATCAGCTTCCTCAAAGGTCTGAAACAAAAAGTTCCAGAACAAGAAAAGCAAAAACCAAATCAACTTCAGTAACATACCAAGTACTCTTCCACGTAACAAATATATCCAGGAACATCATACACCAAAAGATCAAATACTAAAGTTGGGTTGAGAAAGCACCTTATCAATTATACTCTCTATAACGTCATCTGAAAGATTCATGCCAGATTCTGCGAGAGTAGCCACAACCATTTGCTTCACCTAGATACAGAAAGACAAATAAGAATAAATGAACTGTTTGAAAGAAGCAGATCGAAGCTCAACAATAAAGTGGGAGATAAACAACAGTTTACTCGGAAATAAATTATTACCTCCTGCCTTTCAATGAAGCCTTGCTGCTTGAGATCATATAATTGAAACGAAACTGGAATTTGACATTTTCAAAATTAGTATTGAAAAAACAATAAAAAACGATACAAGACAAGGCATAATTGATTTATTAAAGACTTAACTCTCAATTTCATGATCATATTTCACGATTACAATCTAGGTTGAAACATTAACTGAGAGATATTATAAGTATATAACTAACAGCATGAAAGAAATCGTCAACTACAGACAACGTACACTCAATCTTATCATCAATAGGGGCGTTGGGATGAAAGACAGAGAGAGCTCGAGCAAACTCTTCAAAACCTAGTATTCCATTGTGCTTTGTGTCGAATAAGTCAAATACCTGCAATGACAAAGCAATAAATAAGCAGCGGCTTATCCAAGCCGCTTAAGGCATGACAAATGCCTTAAGATGCACAAGTGATGAAATTTAGATGATGGAATTAAAGAAAAGAATATAACAAAATATGATGAAGATGTAATATCTCACAGAAAAACGTACACGATCAGCAAACAAGCTCTCTTTCTTGTTTGTCTTGAATAATGCCAGTTGAAATTCCTCCTACACAATAGCATAAAAGAAACAACTTGAGAGAAAGATATAAAAAAGAATGGAATGGAGAAAAGTAAACTTGTAAGAAAGTGCAAAATCACAAATACAATTCTGACCCAAATGCATACTTGGAAAGCATTGCCTAAAGAACGAAAAGATTATGCAAACCTTGTTAATCAACCCGTCATCAATCACTGCACTGCTGATCTTCTTAAATAGCTCGTAAAGTGCCTCTATTTCACTTACGCTGACTGCATTTAATAAGAAACAGTAATTTGCAGTAGAATGAGAATCGATTGTTTAGATCTAGAACTAAAATAGTGGGTATTTAGACACATTAAAAGTTATAAATTGCTCATTTATTGACATACACACTGTCTCCCTTGCTAGAATTTCAGGGTCTTCTAAGCCTCTCGATTGTTTGTACAAGCCAAGATCACAGCAACTCAGGAAGGAAGCACATAAATGCTTTAACCCGTCTATGCACCGCAACATGATATTTTCTGCAGATCAAAACACTCCATACCTGGTTCACATGAAAAAAATGAAACCAGAACATGAGACTACCTTTAAGTGTTTCTACAAAAGATAGGATTCTACAGCATGTAAATAACAGAACAAACCTTTTAACCATTTCCTGCTTCTTCTAACTCACGGCCCGAACCCCAAGATCGTAAAATTTGAGCCAGCCAAAGCTATATCTCCTGTGAAGCTTGTGATAGTAGCTGAACTTAAACAAGTAGAATGATAGATTAGAAAACGTTTTCAAAAACAAGTTTTCCACTCCTAAAGCCAAAAACAAGGGTAAACACACAATTACTAAACAAGGGAATGCCTATGATTCGACCAACGAAAACTCTCTAACTCAAGAAGAATAGTCCGATCACATGTGGCAACCGAAAAAAAAAATGATCATAATGAAATCCTTTTAACATTTATAGAATCCTTCCATCCTAAAAAGAGCAAAAACTTCATGATATAGGCATCCTAGGAGTACAATTTACAATACCTGACAACTATCTTCTACTTCTAAATACCACAACGTTTTCGGAGTCATAACATCTAATGGGATTTGAATAGAACTAAACAAACACAAATTCTTATACCGATTACAACCCACAAAATTAAATAAACTTTCAATTTAGACCATGAAAATGATATTACAATTATGAATCTTTATTCAGCTCACTCAACCCCATAAACATTTCGATTGCTTTCGAAACACACGACTGAGAAACAATCCAATAAGAAAACATATCCGAGAGCAGAGACGAATAAATGTGCAAAATTTCGCACTAAATTTTGGCTTAGAAATCACGGAAAGTGACTCCTGAATCCACAATTCATTTCCCTAACCAATCACACATCGATGAATAAAAAATTCACAGCAATGAACAAAAACATGAAAATAAGCTCGCAATCCTCGAATCCGAATCCGAGATCCAACACAACCAACCGAAGGCAATCGGAAGACTCAAAATTTATACAGCAGGAGCTCAACGATCCGTTTGGCGCCAGAGAAAATCCGAGAAAAAATTGAAAACAGATTCGGAGAAATGAAAAAACAAGTAAAGATTCGAAATTTGGAGGATTATATGAAGAAAGATGGAAACTTTACTTTGAGAGAGAGAGAGGGGGGGCAGGTGTCGCGGTGGCTGAGCAAGCTTCGCGGCGGAGGAGGCGGTGGTTTGGGATCTCCGTGCAACTCGCTGTGGTTGTAGCGAAAGAGGAGTTACGAATGTGATAGAGAGAAGAAGAAGAGCACGACGTTATAGAGTTGTTTAGAAACACTGTTTTTATGATGCGAAAACCATTAACGACGACGTTTTGATGTTGGATGGGCAGATTGCCACCCGCCGCTAGAGAATTATTGGAGGGTATTTGTTTGTTTTGGTTTTTATTTTTTGTTTTTAATTGTTTTTGGAAAAAAAAGATAAGGATATGTTATTTTTTGGGTTCCCAATCATTCTAACTTTTAAAAAGTTTTCAAACTGTTATTTGTTTATTATAACATTCTTTTTAGATATTTAACGATTTTATTTAAGAAAATTAAACGAAAAGCTTCTGATACTATTTACTTTAACGAAAAATCATATTTTTACTTTAAAAAATCAATCTTGATACTATTCACTTACAACACATTTTTCTCATTTTTGTTAAAATTCAAAGTTTTTAATTCATTTTCATTGGGTTTCCTTTTTATTTATGTAGCTTTTTGATAGGCGCCTCGTTTTTCTATCTGTTATTTTTAAGAATTTGATTAAATATTTTTTTTTATAATTTAATTAGAAATAGGTTTGATTATCTATGGTGTAAGTGATTTTATGATACATTTGGATTATTGGTATATTTTGTTCCTTAGTATTTTTAAAATGTAAAAGTACCAAAAATGGGCAAAAGTCGATAGGGTTATTTTCAAATTTACCATAAATTTTAAATACATTTTTTAAACAATTATACGTAAAATTTTAGCAAATATTCATGAAGTTTTCTTATGAAAGTATTAATGGCTTTTTCTAATGAAGGAAGGGCGTAATTCCTTTTTTGTTCAAATTGAACATTACTTTAGTTTAGCTGATCCCACTTAGTGGGGTAAGCCTTGATTATTGTTTTCGGTCATTGCTTTAGTTTTTTTTATTAATAATAATGTCTTGTTGTTGTAGTTTCCTTAAAACAATTAACAAAACCTATTTGGCATTATTTATAAGGAAAACTAATGAAAAGGGCTTGAAAACTTTGAGTTTTAATGATAAGGACAAAATAAAGGGTAAAGTGAATAGTACCAGGATTGACTTTTTAGTGTAAAAATGTGGTTTTTCGTTAAAGTGAACAGTACCGGGTGCTTTTCGTTAAAATTCCCTTGTTTATACCATTTAGAGCCTCGTATTTAGATCTCATATAAATACTCGAGGGACTTAAATGTAATTATGTGATAAAGAAAGGGGTAAATATGTAATAAGTGATGAGTCCTTATTCTATAAAAGGACTCCTCACCCTTACAATTAGGGGAGGTCATTTCCTAAGCCTTCTCACCCCTCTCACATCCCTTCTGATATTCAGAGGTTCTCTCCCCTCACCTCTCACATAAATACATAATCAGTGTGGACATAACCCAAACCTTGAGGTGAACCACGATACATCTTGTGTTATGTACATTACTTGCAGATCCACGGTTGGATTTACGTTGTTCCTAGAACCTCCTGTTTTGTGCATCAAAATCTCTGTCAAAATCTCATCCACATTCAGGGGTAAAAAGGTTATTTCATTCTTTTTTTTCTTTTCTTTTTGGAAATTGCATTTTTTTATAATCAACAAAAATATAAGGAAAAAATAAAAATAATTAATCTCTTCCCAATCCCTATCATTGCCAGCCGCAGCCGCAGCCACAACAACCACCTACCACCTATTCCCCTCTCTCCCACATAACCCTAGTCATCCCGTCCACCACTATTTGTCTTAAAATGAAACTAAATTCAATGTTTGTATAATAATTTATATTCTAACTTAAACGCAGTTGGGTATTTTGTGATTTTTTAAATCTTGAATTTGAACTCTTGACTCTCTTGAAATGAAAAGTCTGATAATATGAATCTTGTAATTTTATTGTTTATTTATTTATTTTATTGTAGTGCTAAAAGTTTTAAAAATAAAAAAAATTTATGTTCATATGACGCTTTATGATTGGCCGATAAAATCAATAAAAACAAAAATAACAAATTTACCTCTACAAATAACAAAAGAATGAGAAAAAATTCAATTTGAACTATGATGAATAACGAATTTCACCCCAAAATTACAATTAATAACTTTCTCGCCGCATGTTCTATTTAAATGTATGTATCACCACAACGATCGCGAAATTTTTTTGGCCTAAATAAAAAGAGCGAATCGCAACGCAATCAAAATCCTTCAAAAATTCCAGCTGAAATTTGTCTGTTCAAATCGAAAACTTCAAAATCCAATTTTTTTTGGAATTTGGGAAAAATCCGACGGAAATCGGAACGACGGTCGCAGGTGTTAATAGGCTATTTGATTGAAAAAGAGAAGCACTCAGAGAGTTGTAATCGATGGGGAAGAGGAAAGAGCGTCGTCTTGCAGCTAAGACCAGCGCTGGTCGCAGAGTCAAGCTCGATCTCTTCGCGGAACCCTCTGGTAATCTCTCTCTATGTGTATATATATGTATGTATGTATGCATGCATGTATGTATGCATGTATGTATGTATGTATGTATGCATGCTTGTATGTGTGTGTATTTGTTCTTGAATTATTGAGACTACCCATTACCCTGTTTAGGAATTTTTTAAAGTAATTATGTATTGATTAGCTTGTCTGAAAAGATTTTGACAGGAAAGAGGTTTACTTTAGATTAATGGTGGATTGAAGGTCTCTTATTACCAACAATTTCGATATTCTGCTTATGTAATGAGTATAAGTGCTTTTGCTAGAAGTGCTTTTCTTATAACCATGTTGAAATTTTTATTATAAAGGCAAGTGCTTAGCAGTCCCAAACAGGTTCTAAGTATCGTTACCGACGTTATTTTTGAGTAAAGATGACATCTTGTGTTGCGGGATTGGGTAAATATATAAATGGTTTGTTTGGAGTTTGTATGGATTTTGGGGTGTTATGTTGAGGAGCTTTGTTTTGCTTTTATAGGAGATTTGGGTGGCTCTGCTGGACACGATGAACATGGAGACGAAACTAAATCCAAAGGCCATGCTGGGTTACCCAATTCACCATCTTCTTCAGGTGGGTTCCGTCAGTTTTCTTCAAAAAGGACTTTGTAGAGAGGACATGTGCTCAACATAATGTAGATCGGTGGAATTTGGATACTATATGTGCAAGACATGTTATGTTATTCGCCCCCCGAGATTTTGTTTTCAGACTGTAGGGTGGCTGTTGTCATGTTAAGAACATTTGTTGTCAAACCATCTCGGACCCTGCCACAGTGAAATTATGAGTCATTCCCATTCATTATGCCCTTTCTGGCAGCTGCAAAGCATTTTGGAGAGTTCGGCTGGGAATTTTTTCTATCGGTTCGTATATCCTGGCTTTATTTTACATTGTACTTGCTGACGTTTTTCTTCCTTGTGTAACAGGTGGCTGCAATGAAGAGATCCTAATCTTCTAATTTCAAATTTACATATTGCATTCTTAGACAACTTTTTCCTCCTCAATCTTAGTTGCTCTTACTTCCGTTCTACATTAGTACTCCAGCTGTTTGTTTGTTTGGGTGCTGATAAGTTGGTGATTACTAAGTATATATCTCTATCAAAAGATTAGTAAGTAGATAATTTGATGGATTTGGTGGTGTTTGACATGCTAGTATTATTATGTCTGCAGGTCAGAAACCACAAAATCCGCTGCTATTACTTGGGCAATATAGTGATGACGAGTTGGATGATGATTCAAATCATAGCAATGCTTCTGTAGAAAATTCTTCGCCTGACAAAAATGATGAGGTAATTAAATAAATTTCTCTATTTTCTGCCATTTCTGAGAAGCGTGGTGAGCAGTACTTTACACTATTCTAGGGTTTAGGGTTTAGATGTCAAGACATACTAAGTTGGGTTTCACTGTAAGCAGTAACGCTCAAGCTAGGTACTAAAAGTAAATTCTGTCCACCTCACAAACCGGTCTTTTTTGTGTTTACTCCACCTGCTAAATGATGTGCCTCTTTCAGGTTAAGAGTTCGCTTGGTGAATCTCATCAGCATTTGGATTCTGATGCTAGTGAAGACCTTGCTTCTCAGAAGGTTGAGAAACAGGGAGGTAGTACAAATTCTGCCCAGCAAGATTGTGACAAGAACATGGAGGACAGTGATAAAAGAGAAAATGATGATATCATCTCTAGTGATTTACTTACAGAATCTGATTTGATTGAACAAATCTCTGTTCCTGAAACCTCTAGTGTACAAGTCATTGGAGATGTTAGTTCAGGTTGGAAGATTGTAATGCATGAAGAGAGTAATAGCTATTATTACTGGAATACTGAAACTGGCGAAACTTCATGGGAAGTCCCTGATGTTTTAGCCCAGGAAACAAAGTTCGGTGACCAGGAAACGCCTACTACTGCCGGAACAACAGATAATGTTCCTGTTGGTACAGAAGGGGCTAACGCTTCTGATGTGAAGTTAGATGGTTTCTCTAATTCTGTCACAGTTGAAGGGGACGCCAATATAATCCATCATGGAATAGAATCGCATGGGCATGGGTCCCAAATGGACAAATGGAATCTAGAATTCAATGAAGGAGCCACTCACGATACAATGGCTAATGAAGATTCTGAATCAGCGATTGATCTCTCCTCTGGTCTCATCAAACATTGTGAGGTGTTGTTAGAAAGATTGAAGTCACTACAAGGGTACGACATGTTTTGCCCTTCTTTCCCCAACCCACCCACAACACAAGCATCCGGTTTTCTTAAATTTATTTGTTTGATTATTCATTTAGATTCATTTGTATGTTACCCTTTGTTTTTGTTCTTTTCTTTTAGATGTTTAATAAATTAGTCTATATGTTTCAGGTCGAAGGACCCACTGCCAGGTCTCACATGGATCTCAAAGTACACTATGGAAGTTGAGATAAGGCTATTTGATATTAAGTCTCTTTTATCTCATGGTCCATCTCTGCTTCCATTTTGGATGCACTCTGAAAGACAACTTAAACAACTAGAGAGTGCTATTAAAGATGAAACGTCCAAGATTGTTAAATCTCTACGGTCAAATCAAGTTGAGACAACATCTCCATCTTTCTGCCAGGGAGAAAACAATTTTCAGGAAAGCATGGGGTATCAAACTGAAGTAGATCAAGTTGGAACTCTGAACGATCGTCATTTTGCTCCTATTGTTGATACATCAGCGATGGTTTCTAAAGATCAAGATGTTAACAGTTCTGGTGCAAATTCTGAGCATGTGTCTGCATCTGTCTCTCCTCCTAGACATACGAATAGTAGCGAAAGTGAACAAGTCAATGGGGTGGTAGTTCCCGATGACTCGACTACCAAAAATGAGATTTGTTTTGGGGAAGAGGTTGATATGGATGTAGACATGGAAGTTGAAGAGTCAAACTCTGCAGGAGATACAACTATAGAATATGCATTGAATTCCAAGGAGTTTGCTCCACCAGAGCAGCCAATTCATCCTAGTCCACCTTCTATATACACATCTTTAGTGTCAGAGGATACGTTCACTGTTCCACCTCCCCCTGATGAGGAATGGATTCCCCCACCACCACCAGATAATGAACAAATTCCTCCGCCCCCACCTGATGAGCCACCACCTGAGCCCCCATATCCTCCTCATCCATCTTACCATGAAACAGCTCAACCTCCTTATGTAGAGCAATATAATTATTCCTATCCAGCTTCCAGTTTTGGGTATTATGGACATACCGTCACTGAAGCTTCTAACACTAATTTTTTTGGACATCCTGAAGGATCGCAAGTAGTTATACCCCCGGCACCACTTTACTATGGTGCAGTTCCTAGCACCTACATGGATACTGCTCAGGTTGCGGTTAACCCTGTTGAGTCTGTCACATATTATGGGCTTCAAGATGGCATAGTACCTGCTGCTCCTGTAGTCGGTAGTGTAGAGCCGTTGCAGTTTCACAGCAAGTCTGCTCCTCTAAGCTATGGAAACCTGGCATCTGATCAGACTGGATCCATCAACTCCCATTCAGGAGCAGGCAGTAGCGCTTCAAATGTGAATATTAAGTGTTTTTCTGTTGATAGTGGGAATGGTGGGGGATGTATCAAGGTTTCTTCTACCACATCCACAATTCAAGCACCTGCAACTGTTTCTGTGCCATCAACTAATTCAGTCCCTACCGCTGCATCTATTACTGCTACATCAGTGGCTACCAAGGTTCAATCTAAAGGTAAAGATTTTGAAACCTAATTAAATTGGGTAATTTTCTTTTCATGACGTTCTTCTTTGTCATCCTACTTCACGTGAATGATGGATTTAATCTATGACAGGTCTTAGTGACTCGCATATGATTATAAGTGTACTCATTACTTTCCTTTTCTCTTATTCAGTTCCAAGGACGAAAAAGCGGACAATTGCAGCTGCTTCCTCCTTGAGGTCTAATAAGAAAGTGTCTAGTTTAGTAGACAAGGTATGTTTTTGTCTAATTCTTTCATATCCCTACTTGCGTCGTATAATTATCGATCCCCTAATTTTGTTTCAATTTAACCAGTGGAAAGCAGCAAAAGAGGAGTTGCTTGAAGACGAGGAGGAACCTGAAAATGCATATGAGTTGTTAGAGTGGAAGCGACAAAGGGGAATAGAGGTTTGCGCTGGACTTTATTTGTACAGTAATGCGTTTTGGGCCTTTTGGCTCATTCTGGTTTCTTACGTTCCTATTGTTGCAGGAATGGTATGCACAACAAATTACCAGCGGAGAGGCCAAAGATAACGCTAATTTTCAGCGTCTGGGTGGCGACTGGTAGGGTAACCTAAATTATTATGTTAACATGTCACTGTAAATTCTAAGTTTGCACTTACATTCATTTATTTTTGGGATGACTTGGTCACTTTCACCAAGTCTTTAGACACTGAGTTTCATGTTACATCAACTTTCTTCTGATGTGCTAGTTCTGTTTCCTGCAGGCGTGAGAAAGTGAAGCGAAGAAAAGCTCAATTAGCCCGGGAAGCTGCAAAAACTGCAGCAGCATCTGCATCTGAGGCTCCTACTGATGGGAACAAGCACCCTGATCTGACCGAACAATCAAACGGTCTCCCACCCGGATGGCAGGTAAATCTCTTACTGAGCACATCAGTAGTTGTATTCCTTAATAGGCTTTGATGTCTGCTTTAAACAAGGGTTGTTGCTTATCGACATTTCTGTTTAAGTTGATCCTGGTCGCGTTGAAACCCACTAAGAAAGAACTTACACCTAGAGTCTTACTCGCCTTCTTGGTTATGTGCTTATTGTTTAATCCGTTAATGTGAAGCACTTATTTTTCTCTGGCTTAGACGGAAGGGAGTTACTTGTTCAAAAGCTGATTTTCTTCTTTTCGACTTCTGCAGGCCTACTGGGACGAATCTTCAAAGCAGGTTTACTACGGAAATACCGTGACCTCGGAAACTACATGGACGAAACCAACAAAATGAGTCTTCAAATTTTTGAGAGATTTTTAAATAGATAGGATTAATTACAGTGATTTGTTATTGCTTTTTGTAATCTAGGGGTTGGATTAGGAATACATTCTGCTATACAATAACAAATTTTTGCCAATTTATTGTTTGGGAAGGAAATAAGACTTCCACAAACGGGTTGTATTAGTTGTGTTCGTGTCATTTTCGGGTCATATCCTTTATTTTAACAGGTTGTGTAATGTCAAACTGTTATTGTAGCGGGTTATTAACATGTAACCTAACAACGAGCCGATTCGTTAACAGGTCATGTGGATCATGTAAGAAATTGTCATGCTTAATATCAATACAATTGACAAATGATATCTTATCGAGTTTGAACAGGTGATCCAATAACAATTTGACTTGTTAATGGGTTCTTAACGAGTGACTCGATAATAATCTGACTTGTTAACAGATGATTTGAAATCTGTTATTTCGTGTCGTTTTGTATTGAGTTTATAGGTTGTGCAAGAAATTGCTAGGCCTTGCTCCCTCGTGGAGAAATCGTCGATGACTCCAAATTTAGCGAATCGATCAAGCTAAAAACTAAAAACGAAAGGTTTATTAGATCGTGTTGGTCAGTGCATGAAATATGAAAACGAATACAAAGCTGTGTTGAATGTTGATGCCTAAATATTAGGCAACCGTACATTAAACAGATCTTTTTCGAAGTATAAAAGTTGATTATTATTCATTTGCGCAGAAAAAATACAATGCAAAATCTTCACAATACGTCCGCTCTAATTCCATCACCTTCTCCTATTTTCTCTATATGAACCCTCACTTTCTTTATCCTTTAAGAAGCTTAGGAAAAGTAGAAAGCCGAAAAAGGCAAAGCCTCCGGACCAGTTGCCTCCACCGCCGCCTCCACCGCCACCACCATCACCATCGTCACGAGGAGGGAAGCCACTCCCACCATCATCAAGCAGTGGAGACTTCTCCTTGCCTGCAGTTGCACGCAATCAACTGTTAGATGACTTCATTTCAGGAATTCAGGCAGAGAAACACGGCTTGCAAAGTACACGCACATTTCTATGTGAATTCTAAATAACTGTTGAATCCAAGGCTGCGAAAGAAGCATTTATGTTCCGCAAACACTCATCTCTAATGTTTCAAAACGATTTTTTCTGCAGCACTAGTAAGAGATTAATACAAAATATCGGCCCTTACCAGGAAGATGTGTAATTGTTGGAGCCTCACGTGTAACAGTCTGCGTTTGTTCTGCACCGCATCTGGCATTCTGCAAAATAAAAGAGCAAAATCAAAACTTCTTTTCCTTTTTGTTCCTTGACTGAGGAAGTTAGGATCGATTCAGAAGGAAGAAACGAACAACTATAAGAAGCAAGAACAAAACGTAGACTCCATAATTTGAATAACGTTTTAAACAGCTATGCAAAAACAATTTCTCGGTGCTTATTTTAGGTCATGCAAACTTAAGTGCAAAATTTAAAAGTAGTACAAATAACTGGACCAGGTAACTGATTAATTCCAGACATTTGTAGCCAATAACTCAACTCAGGTGAATGAATTTTAAAAAACCATGCCCGTATCTTGCTTGCATCACCAATATGAAAAGGAACAAAATGCATTGGCTTATCCTACAGGGTCACCATTCTCGGGGTTCAAATCAATGAATTCATGATCCATAAATGCTTCGGTTATCTTTAATTGCTACGGAAGAGTATAGGATAGCAATCCATTATGCAACAAACCAAAACTATATTCCTATGTAAAGGCAAGGTAAGAAATGATAATAGATATGAGAGAACGAACTAACCAAAGCACTAGCGCATATTACAGAAGCAGACTGTGTTCGACAGGAAACCATGACTGGATTTCTTCTCTCGAGTGGAAACTGTGCAAGCCCCACCGCTCCCATCTTAAGATGCACCATTTTTCCATCAACATGTACCTTTTTCGGTCCACGGCTAGAAAGCTTAAATTGTCCACGGCATTGACCTACTGTTCTCACATACACAACCAAACATTACAACAATCACATGCCATTCTCAAAAAGAAAACCCTACAAATATCATCAAACTGAAAATTCCGACAAACAGAGTTACGGAAAAAAGTTCTTCACAGAGAGAGAAACTCTTGTTACAAAATCCCATAAACGAGCAATCAAAATCGATAGGAAAATCAAATAACAGAATCTGTGAGCCTTCAAAACCACAGAAATTTAGGAATTGAATGTCATAAGTACCTGCTGGCAATACAGGCGAGTTAACGATTGTACTTGCAGCAGTCAACATTGGCATCTTGGTGACAAAGATCACCTGAAAAAACATAGAATTAGGACATAAATATTCATAGCGGCACACGATTGGGAATTTGCCAAACCCTACTTCTGCTAAAGCTACAAGTTATTGATTAAGATTAAATTGAAGGGAAAATGAAAATGAAAATGGTAAACAAATATTAATCAGATCATTTATATCTAATAAATAATGGGTTATGTTTGTTTTCATGAATTCTGGCTCAAAATATTAACTACAAATTAAAAAAGAAATCGAAATTTAATTACTTTTTGAGGTAAAATTTATCAGAACCCAATCTCCATACCCGATAAAGACTCCTCCTTTGGACCTCAGAAGCAGCAGAAAAGCCTGAAGCAGAAAACCCCTTTCAAAAACCCTAACCCTAAATCGTCTGCAACTGCGAAACTGGAGGAGGAAATTTTGAAGTTTTGTGGAGGTGGAGGTTTGGGTGTTGATTTTGGTGTGGACGCCAATGGAAACTATGGAGGGCGGCGAAATAACGGCCTAAATGCCCAACGGTGTCGTTTTGTCTTCAGTTTTGTTATCGTCTTGGACAGCTTGACTGGGCCTAATCCTTACCCATATCTTCTGTCCGGCCTGCAAAACAAAAGACCACTTCAATACACCCCCAAAATTTAATTTCCTTACCACCCCAAAATTCCAAAAATAAAAATAAAATCAATTAAAACAATGAAGAGGTTAAGGTTTAGGGGAGCATAAAATAAAACTTTTTTTTTTTCTTCTCAGATTTCATCTTGCAATCGAATCGAATTCAATCTAGTTGGTTTCGAGTTTCTTTGATGTTGTAGGAGGTGAAGAGAGAAATAAGACGATATTTCAAATTACTCTAATTTACGAAAAAATGGTTTCAAGTTTCTTGATGTCGTAGGCCGTTGTGAGTAGGTTAAAAGTTTGACCATGACAACTCTGCAGTCGACCTACCCTCAAAGGAGGCGAGGATAGAAAGGAGATGTGGTTTTGTGACCATAACACTTTAACGGAGTATTACTAATTCACATGCGAATTTTTAGGGTATAATATTGATAATTATAAATTACACGAATGTATTATGTATTGAACATGAGTTCATTGATAACTCTAATTAATTATGATGAGAAGAGAAGAAGGTGGGTGACGGTCAAATGACGTGTGCATAATTGGGTTACATGTAAGCTGTTCAAATCCGTATGTCTACTTGGTTCTTATTACACGTGGATTCCAAGTGATTAGTCAAGTTGTTTTGCACGGATTGTTAGGGTGAGTTCATCTTCAACTTGATGGATTTTATCATTTTGCACGGATTCCATACGTTATTGTTTTGGGTTTCACTTCTAGTTCTGGTGAATTATACGATGGTGACTATAAGGTTTAAATGCTTTTGAGAGTTTTTTCGTCCCAAAGAATGGTGGACTGTCGTGGTAAAGTTACCAGCTGGTTTTTTTTTTTTTTTTTTTTTTTTTTTTAAGTTTGTTTGCATGTTGACGTCATAATTTGAGAACCATAAAAATTGAAAACCACCGAGAGCCAAATTATAACTTTATTACATATCTCCAAAAAGAAAAAGGAATCCCTTAACGATTTGGAAATCAATTAGAATTAGGGTAGGATTAAGAAACTGGCTCAGTACTATATATACGTGCTCCGCCTCATGTTTTCTTTCACCAAACTCCCTTGTTGAAACTAACCTAGCTCTCTCCTCTCCCATGGATCCCAAGTTTGCACTCCGTTTTCTTCTTGTTCTCCTCCTCGTTTCACCTCTTTTTGTCACCAACACAATGCAAGCTGAAGCTGTCCAACCCTACGAAGAAACAAACCAACATGAACCATCGGAGCCGACCAACAGCGGTATGGTGTCAGCCGTACTCTCTGACAAAGGGTATCACGCCATGTCACTTACCCTAGACAGGATTCTTGAGGCTATAAACCCTAACGCCACTCTTACCCTCTTTTGCCCACAAGACAAGGCTTTCTTCAACTCCAAGTACCCACAGCCTCCATTGACGCTCCTCAAGTACCATGCTGTGCCATTCAAGATGGACAAGGATTCCATGGAGGCCTCTTTTCGTCACGGTTCCAAGGTTGACACTCTTCTGCCGGGTCATCCTCTCGTTGTTACTTCCCTACCGGGCGGCGCCGGCGCACATGGACATGCTTCTCTTAACCTAGTCAAAGTCACTGAGTGGGATCTCTATAACAACGGACGGCTGATCGTTCATGGGGTTGAGGACTTCTTCGATCCGGCTTTCCAAACCCTAAGGTATCCACAGTTCGACGTGGTTGCGAAAGATGTTGTTAGTTCTGGTGGATCTTGGCTCAAGAAAGCAACAGAGAATTGGTTTCTTTTATTCTAAGCCTTCGAAGACGAATGATGTTCACTATTCTCCTTTAGGTTCTTGGTTATGTATCAAGTTAATTGATTAAATTTTTTTAACTTTTTTTTAATCACAATTAATTTTTTTTAACTATGTTTGAATTTTGATGAATCTTTTTTTATGTTCTGCTGGTTCTTTCTTTTTGTTCTTATTTGCTGAATAAGAAATATGCACTCATAGAATCGAATACAAAATTTTAATCAAAGATATATTCTTGAGCGCCGATCAACAAACAGTAAAGGGTACTAAACCGTGATTTATATATACTAGAACCGTTTCATCCCTCTAAAACTTCTAATTCAAGTTCATATATAATCTGAACCGCCAATGTCCATCTACATTAATCCACATTACACGTTTAATCGGTGAATCAATTTTCAATCACAATTAGGTAAGTTCTTTTCTCCTTCCCAGAAATAGTTGTGGCTGAAATATGTTAGGCCTCATAGATTAAAGATTTCTTGATGCTGGTTATTCTGTGGTTAATCCGAAATTCCGAAGTCCGAATCCTCATCTCTCAACATCCTTTTACGAAATAAAAGGAAACAATACGTGCTTTAGCATAAACAAAAACAGTTTGAATTAAATTTATAATGTATACTAATCAATAGATACTAACAAATTTATACAACACTCATCACATGTAAGTTCGGCTTTTCTTGATACCCAAAATTCATCAGGATCTTCGTTTTGGTGTTGACAGTATATATTATATATATTATTTTTCTTATGTTGAAGAAGCTACACGCATGCATGCCAAATATTCACTCAACTCAACATTTTTCCATATGATCAGAAGAAGTTACTGAGCAGGGACTGAGTCATTAAGGGGACTAGGCTCTACTTTTCGGTTCTCGAGCTCCGAGAGGTTGGAGCCGACGGAGCTCCCTACACGGCTGAGGCCCGAGCCGAAACTTGAAGTTCGGTGGTGTCTGCAGCGGAATGAGCCAACATGGGTGGTTGGGGAGCAGAGGCAGTTCTTCCACCTTGCTGATTTTGGAGTACCTCCTTGTGATGTTGGTGAACCAAGCATGTGATTATGCTTCCTCAAATCCTCTATGGTAAATTCTGGTATGGTTAGGTTTTGACCCTTGCACTTGATCGTCCTTGGGGTTCGGGGATTTTGCTCCACCTTTTCAGCCATATTTTTCTGTCAAGCGTCAACCAAAAAGAAAAATAACGACCGTTATTATACATGTATTCACCCATGCACTCGAGATTTTGAGTCCAACAACGATATGTTTAAAGAGAAAAGGTTCTTAAGATACTAGATTTCCAACGATACATACACTTTTCTGGCATGTTTATTCACATAGAACGCATACTGAAATGATTAGGGATGATTCTCGACTTTCTGCGTGTTTACTAACACACGATCATCAAAATTATACCGATTCATGACTTTTTCCGTAGTGTCATTCATCAAACAATTCGATGGCTGAGATATATAAAGCGATCGGAGGATGGCAATGATGCAAGCATTGTGTTAAACTCATTATCAAATATTCAAAATCGATTAGAAAAAACAAACACATAGAATAAACGAAAGAAAACGTTTGAAATCAGAAGATTTTGACAAGAAAAGTATATATGTAAACCTGCAGGAGAATACTTGGGAAATGGTAGAAGTTCTTCCCCAATCGCCAGAAAAAATGTTGTCTGGCTTCTTGCAAGGAGAGAAGGGTGAGATGGTGAAAGGAGGTGCTACCACATTTATCTTTCAACCCACCCCCTTAACAAAATGGAAGAAAATCTTGATTTGAAATATGAACAAATTTGACAGCAGTCACAAATAGCTGAATTTTTGGGCTTCAAGTTTCAACCACTTCTTTTTTTGGAGTTGCAAGTTTGTGGTGTCTCCTTCATCACAAGTTTGTAGCCACTAATTTCCATTTTTTCCATCCCTAAATATTTTTTATTTTTAACTAATTATTGTGCCAAGAAAAAAGAACAGAATAACAGCTTTCCAAAGCCAGAAGTACCATTGGCCAATAGTACAACTCAATATTTATTGAAAAAAATACAGGGCGATCCCAAGCCAACAAGACTCTTCGCTTTATGAGGGTCAGGAGAAAACTCTATAGTATGCAGTGGGTCAGGAGAAAACTCTATAGTATGCAGTCTTACTGTCGTCTTCACGACTCGATCCTGTAACCTTTCGGTTACAAAGAAATAATATTTCTATACCGCCAAGGCTCGCCCTCACAACTCAATATTTGTTAATTCATAAAATAGGTAATCACCTTCCATTCTAAAATTAACCAAAATGGTTAGTAGTTCTGAATTTTAATAAGAAAAAGATAAAAAAGAGAGGAGAGTATACAAAAATAAACGAGTCTCGAAGCTACTAGATAAAACTGAAAATTACGTTGCAAGTGGATTGTAGTTCAATTGGTTAAGAGCATTCGACCTTGCACTCGAGGTTCCTGTTTGAATTCCCCTCCCATAGTTTACTATTGATTATCCTATTGTTTGTCAAAGAAACTGAAAATTAAGTTCTGAATGTCAAATTATTGATCATAATTTGGTTGTGCTGGATATATGTCTGCATGTACATCTCTATGTTAACTAGAACGCTTTCTTATGTGCACACACTATGCATCGGTCATGCAAGTGCAGGAAATTACTTTTACTGCAACATTTCTGTAAGAGACTAGCATACTAAGCCGGGCAGGAATCTGCACAAGAGCTGCAAAGTAAGTGGCATTTGCTTCAGGGTGGCATGGAGTCACAAGGAACAAAATTGACCTCTGAATACAATACAACACAGCATCTTTGAGTCCTTTTTTTCCGATAACGGCAAATAAATCAACTTATGAGTCTAATTTCTCCAAGGCCAAAAAGCCGAAATCTTACAACATAAAAATACAATTAATGAAAGTCACCAAAATTGACATAGTTTGGCCTAACAGATTCAGCAGGGGAGTTTTTCACCGGAAATCCGAAGCAGGAAAACCAGAAGAGAAGGGATACAAACGTGTTTTGCTTTTTCTACTGTCCCTTGTCGTAGTCAATTATTAGAAAATGAGGCAGTAACATTGCCGTTGCTAAGCATTCGGTATCTGCTTCCTTCTTTGCTTACTTCTGCCTCTTGTATATCTTTGCCAAGAATGATTTCAGCACTGCCTGTACTGCTTTACTTGAATGAGATTCAATCAATTTTGTAAGTTTCTGGTAACTGCTGCTCTCATACTCCAGAAACACACCCTAAAACCGCAAGTGAAATAAAATGGTAATGTTAAAACCTTTGGTTCGAAATACAGAAAAAAAGGCACAAGAAATAATCCCTTGATGTTATGCAATATGTTTTCCAGGCTTCAAGATGCGGTTCCAGAAAAGTAAAGTAAAGTAGAACAAGAAGATGGAGAGAATAACCTCAAGATCAAGGACTTTGTATAGTTCTTTTACTTTTGCAATACATGTTTCGTCATCTTTCCCATAATTCTCCTGGTAACATAACACAAACATGAATACATGTAATCAAGAACTATAACACCGGGACTAGTATACAATACATTAGAATATAGATTTACTTGCTTACGTGTAATAGTTTCTTTTGTTCCTCACTAGCAATTTCTAAAGCTTTCACAACCAACCAAGAGCACTTGAAGTCTTGAATATCAGTCCCAACCTAATATTTCAAATGACAAACACTTGGTTCATAACGCTTCGATGGTAGGGAATTGCATGACCAAAAGCCAAATGAGTATAGCTTAAAATATACCTTTCCTATCACTTCGGGCTCACCAAAACAATCCAAATAATCATCCTACAAAATACATCAGCATATCATTCAGTTAAAATAAGAAAGAAGGGGCTTATATAGAAGGAAGAAAAGAAAAATGGTGGTCATAAATTGGTCGGGGAGCTGTGGGTTTGGCAATCCTCCATTTCTTTTTCCCTAGTCATCCTACAGTTTATCAGCAATAAAATAATAGAGGATTTATACGTGAAATTAACTATTACCTGTACTTGAAAATAAGTTCCCATTTCAATAAGAATAGTCTTCACATCAGCATGGCGTTCAAGATCTTCGCCTGCCATTAGCAACGCGCATGCTACCTGAGTGCATAGATTGGTTATAAGCATAATTATGTCAGAAATTTCATCAAATCCTGGGATGAACGTTAATTGTTTTATATGGTTTCGGGTGTTCAGGAAGATAGAAACACATGAATCTAAACCAACTTCTTTTACGGAGGAAATCAAGCAAATAAAAACTTCGTTCTATAGAGGTTTTCGGCTATTCAAATATATGATCAGAAACCAAAAAATCTTCAAAATCTTCAGTTTCATTCACACAGAAAAGGACTACACCTAACAGCCTTTACATTACATGCCAATTAGAAAGCAGACTTTCTACCTACGTTAGGCACCATGGTTGAAATCTTCTCTAAGGCAAAATTGACAATTAACCGTTTTAGAGGGGGGTTGACTATAAAGATGAAATGAATCTGAGAACCATGAGCTATGAAAGCGTAAAAGAAATTTGTACTCACTGGAAGGTAAAAAGAGTAATAAGCGGTCTTGTACTGAACAATGCGGCGGTGACTGCATGAAAAGACAACCACTTGAGCATTAGAAACGGGAAAAGGAAATAGATTTAATTGGAAATCAATCATATAAATTTGAAACCGTCATAATATTTACTTACAGCGACAATGAGTACTTTGATAGATCTTTCTCTCCTTCATGAGTGGTAATTAAATCTATCAATTGTCCATGAGCTGTTTGAAACTCCACCTCATTAAATAAATCCAGCAGATCCACATAGTAGGGCTTTCCCCTAAAGTGCTTTTGAGAACTCGTGGGATATGGTTGCGAAGTAGTATGCCATCATTCACAGCAATCATGCCAATCTAGGATTAACAATTATGAAATTTAGAATATTCATAGCAATTTAAAAGAGAAAGGCACAAAGAAAAGCATCAGTCGTGTTAGAGGCTCTAACCTTTGGTAGTCTGAACCAGCACTGCTGACCCCTACGTGTATGAGAGCCATCCATGATATCATCAAGAACAAGAAAATATGCTTGAAGCTGCAAAATTCAATAAAAATGAAGGTCAGAATTCAGTTGTAAGTTTGTAACCAATGCAGACGAGAGGTGTGGAGGTATGATAAACAGTAGGAGCCATTATGTGTTGTCCTACCCATTCAATACACCATCCAAGTGCGGATGAATGAAAAAATTCATCATCCGTTAGGTCCTTTCCATCCTTGAGTAATTTTAAGCTGTCAACAACGGATAAACCTCGATTCAACTTTCCTGCAAACAGCAAAAGCATTATGAGCAGAAGTTCTATCACAAAGAAGTCAAATAAAAATTAGAAATCGTGACATTTCTATACCTCCTGGCACAGTGTAGTCCAGCATCTGCAACAAACGGGCACAATGATTCAATTAGGACATAGAAATATTAGTATGAAATAGGAATTAAGGTGTTCAGAACAATAGTAAAATTGAGAATAAACTTGTGCCATTGTAAAGACAAAGACTATATTTCCGTAATCTGTCAAACACTTTCTTCAAATTCACGGCCTTCTCAAACTCAAGACTTGTTTATACATAAATTGGCCTTCAACCCAATAGTCTAGGTGCAGAAGAACAACTACTAACCCAGACACATACACATATCCACACACACGTATACTTATACATCAGTGTATTTTAGATTTACTAACTGCTACTATAATTTCACCTTATATATGGATAAATCAAATCAGATACTCTTCCACATCAGTTATTTGACATTCACATTAACTAATAGGAACTTATCATTAGCACTCCAAAACCGTCATTCTACACTCCTCCCTTTATTTTACACTAAACAACAAGGAGTGCGGGATAACTTTTCTCAATTGCAAATAGCAGCTCTCTAATCGTATTTCCTGATAAGTATGTATTCCATCTTAATCATATTTTAGTCATTTTTCTAATCTTTGGCTCTTCTAAAGGCAATGCCTTGATTCATCAAGCCTCTCACCTCAGAAGATCACTGGTATAACTTTTCTCCTATTTTTGTGTTTGGAAATGCTTTTTTTTAATCAAATTTGGAAGTGTTTTTAAAATGATTGAAAGCGCTTTTAACGAAAAAAAATTTGAAAACTAAAATCACTTAAAGTGCTTCCTGCAACTGCAAGAAGCACTGGTTATGTGCTTTTAAAATGACTAAAAGCACTTTTAGCCGAAATGTTTATGGGTTTTAAAAGCAATTAAATGCTTCTTTTCCAGGATTCACTTGCACTTCTACTAAGAATTGGTTCCAAAAATATTTTCACCAAAAACACTTCCAGACGAGCCCAAAATCATGCGATAAATCTAATCTTTCAATCAAAACTAAATCATGGTAATTGAATGTCTCTGGTACTATAGGATTGGGCAGTTCATGTAGAATACCAAGCAAAACAAACATGCACAGCAAAGTCGTCTTACTTCGACGAAAAACAAATGCTTTCGAGCCAATTACGACTACCAAATCAGATCGGAACCGATACTACTACAAAATTTCAACAGAATCTCACCAATCTAAGCCTTAACAAACAATCCTATCAAAAATTTACAGCCAAGATTAAATCTTCCTCGATTCCAACACCTTCCTTTCGACAGAGTGAAGGATCACACCCCTCCCAAAATTCAAAGCAGAAAATCTTACAAAACTCAACTGGTGTAACAGTAACACCAACAATCAAAATATTTTAAAAAATCATTGAAAAAAGACTTAATCTTTCATTGCTATGCACATTGACTTATGAATTACAAGCAGATTAAAGGGGTAGATGGAAATACCCGTTCGACCCATTGACGAGAAACGTCCGTGAATTCGAAGGCCGGATCATTGAGAAGCTCAGATTTCAAAACAGAGTAAACGCCCAAGAACTTAGACCTCAAATCACCCATTTTCTCTGCAGATTTAGAGAGACTAGAGAGAGAAGGGTGAGGGGTGAGGGGTGAGGGGTGAGGAGGAGAAGGTATGAGCTTTTAAAACTAGAGTGGAAGAAAGAGGAGGAGGAGTTGGGTCTTTAAATGCCAGCCGGAGAAGGAGTTGTCTTTAAATGGCAGCACCCAAGCTTTGAACTCTAAAGAGAGAGTTTGGCAACAACTCACGTCTGGTTGGCTTTGGAATTATCATTTCGGGGATGTGATATTCACACATCATTTTTACTTCTTCCATATTTTTTTAGCTTTCGGCCGTCAGATCGGATGAATCGAAGAAGATCAATGAATATAAATTAACAAGGATATGTGAGAAATAAAAAAAAGGTGTGTAAATAGCACATCCCTTTTTTTATATCAGAAAAAGTATCCAATTAACCAAAAAAAGAAATTGAGAGAAAGAAAAAGACAAATTTGTTATTTACGTTAAAGAGATCAGATAGCGGCTTCATCATAATAAGTTTATTTTTATAGATACGAAAAAATTCACATAAACATTTTAGTTTTTCTTAATCACCATAATGTAATTTATTAGTACCATAATCAAACTCAAAATATGGCGTAGAAATACAAGTCTAAAATTTGTTTTCGATGACTGAACCATCATGCCGTCGTTAAAATAGGACAAATTAGTTTTTATCCAAGTTGTTGATCCAAGTTGTGCCCACCAATAATGATCCAAAGTAAACTTTGATAAGATTGCATCTGACCAACCACATGCTTGCTCGGTACTCAGTCAAAGTATGTGAGCCAGGAGCCAGCCAACCAAGCCCAGCCGCCAAAGTCAACCCCCAACCCACCCTTTCAAGGAGAAGTTTTTTGTTGTGATCATAACACAGGTAGTACACCATATATTTTTATATAATTAATAGAAAATTTTATTTTTTAAGTTATTAATTTTTTAATAAACATGTCCCATAATTTATATAACGACACATAATGTACCATCTCATATGACGATTACATTGAAAAATCTCTGTTGTTTAAGACAGCGGCGGTGACTCGGTGGCATCTAAAGGCTATAATATGCATGGGTTCGTTCTCCGGCCTACTTCTCATAAAAGAGCCCGTTTCAGTTGTTGTCGCATGTATTGGGTTGAGTTGGGACGAGTTCGAAATATTGAGAAATTATCTATTATGGGTAGTTTAGTGGTTGACGAATTTCATGTCTGTATATTTTTTTTTTAACAAATGATATTTTCTATACTAAAGAGGATGAAATGGACTTAACCTCTTATGGACTAGCAATAATATGGTTCGAATTTGCTTTTGAAGAGAATCGAACATAAGACATCTCACTTAGAAGTGAAGAGGAATACGACTAGACCGTAGTATTAAGTGACAATTTCAGACCCGTATTTAACACTGCATGTTCTGCATTCGATTACTAGCGTTGATGAATTACGCGATGATGGTCAAAATGAGGCATAAAATGCCTCTATGAGTCTTCTTAGCCCCCGAAAGGGTAGACTATCATGGCGAAGCTACCCACTGGTCCTCTTTTCTGAAGAAAAAAAATATATTGGGAACTTGGGTTAGGAAGATAACTGGAGTCCTTATATTCATGATAGATTTTTCAATGTAGCTTTTACCATTCATATTCAACAAATGTAGTTTGTTATTTACAATTAATATATTTTAAGTTCAGAAAGTATTAACCACATCATTCATAACTTTCTCGAGTCTTAGATTTTGTAGTCGGTAATTGTGGGCACTTGTTTTTCAACACAAGCTTTATTTTAATTTAATTTTATTTATAATTATAAACAATATTACCATTCTAAGCTCCTCTAAAGAAAGCGGAAAGTTTGAACTCAGAATGCATGAGTTAAAGAGAAACCCTATCCTGCAGAGCCATCCTTTCTTTCAAACAACTCCATCCAAACTAGAGCCTTAAAGTTACATGTTCCGAGCAGAAATCAGAAAAGTAAAGTATTAAAGCACAAGCTTTTAATGAATATTACGAAGGTTTGATACATTCTTTATCACATTTCTATGTACATATATTCCATAATATTAAAACGAAGTCATAGGAATTTGACGTGAAAAATGGAGTGCTGACTGTTGACTATCTGACGCCTTCTCCCTCCTCTGTTATCTAGCCTTGGACTGACGGCATAAGATAAACTTACACAAACAGAGTTATTCCATAATATTAATAAAACTTAATAAAAAGAATGTGTGTTTTGTTTTTGGTATACATACGGGAGAAATTTGTAAGGATACCAACATCATTCTCTTGCTACCTATTTGTAAATTCAACCACTGTAAAATTTGGGTATACTTTAGTTACTGGTAAGCTCCCCCTGTACAGGCAAAAAACTCGCTCGAGTAACCGCGTAAATTCATGCTGAAAAAATGAGAGAATCGAAGAAAAAGAAGAAGAAAAAACTCAACCATTTTGTTGGTGTAATTCCTATCTCTGCAGTTCTTGCTTACAAAGAGGACAGCAAGATATTATTCTGAGCCAATGATCGACGCAATTGAGGTGAAACATATGGGAACATGGCAACCGCCGTACTTCTTCCTTGTCTCGGTATTTTGCCAGGCAAATGCAGCAATCCTGCGAGCACACGAAAAAGGATTAAGAGACGAAATTAATGAGCCGCCATGTGAGATTACAAGGCGTTTCTTGACGCTATATGGTTCAGATAACCAGTAGACCTTAAAAGTTAAGTTTGTACCACATATAGGTATAAATTACAACCCCATTCTCTACTTTTCGGATTATGTTGACAAATAAATGGAGAGGAGAATCGGAGGTTTCGATTACAAAAGCTCTTGACTTCAGAAAGTTAAGGGGATTGAACTGCTAGGATTGTACATCGAAGCAAGAAAAATGGAGATTCTCGCGTGTGAAGAAACCGCAAGCAGAACAAAGATTATATGAATATAACAAGGCCAAATTAGCTTTTTATGTATGACTATGACTTACTGGATCTTCATTTAGGGATCCTGAATCGCAATCATTTCTGAGCTCTATTTTGGTGTTAACTTCTTCGTATCTCCAGCTGGGAAGCTGAGAAATTTGGTCATCAGAAGCCCCTTTATCGACGGATCCCATGTTCATGTTGTATCCAAGGAGGCTGCTAATTAGGGGTACACAGCAACATAGCAGCACAAACAGCAGGAAGGGAAAGGAGTAGCTAATGGCATTCCAAGCAAGCAGAGAGATGCAGAGCACATGGAGTTTCGGGGCTACAGTAAACGAACTAAAGCGAGAATCGAAGACCCAAACATTACCCATCACAAACCATACGGCAAAGAAGAGCTCGAGTGAGGTTCTACACCTGTTCATCAAATGTGTGGTCCTTTACACATATACATTGTACACCATATATCAAACTCCGAAACGTGAAAGATTCCATATGATTTACACTACAAATACGTACACAAATCTTTCGTAACTAAATGGAAGTAACCAAAGCCAATAAAAAGTACCTGGAATCTTCAGTGCTTCTCTGCTGTTCCAAATCGGAGAGGTTGAAACCATCACTTTGAGTCAGATAAAGTAGCCTGTAACGCCCAAAGAGCACCAACATATGGAGAACACAACCAATATCATACCCAACAATCCAAACTCTCATAGGCCAAACCGGCCTCTCCTTCTTCGAAACAGCCAAGGTAATCGTGGTCACGCCTATTTGAACAACCAAAGCCATGAATTCCAGCATCATCCAAGTGCTGTTATCGAAAGGATTTGATCCAAGATTGGACCTCGAACCATTTTGGTAGTGGAAGACTCTTCTCAAGAAGGTGAACCACCTTGCTCTAGATATTCTCATAGCCATTCTCATTAAGAAGGAAGCAGGAGCTCTAGAGGACCTTGTCCTGACCAAACTAACCGCCGCACCATCATCTCCCGGATAATTTGAGGAAAATGAAAATGCAGCGGAAGCAGATTGGTACGTGGGTTCTGATTGAAAAATGTAACGGCTATCCATAGAAGAATGATTCTATTGGCAACTATAAATATGGCGCCTTATACAAGTGTTATATGGTGTGAACTGAAATTGGGAGGCTGACGTGAAATATATGAGAGTTGTATAACAAAAATTGTGCTGGGAGTTTTCACAAATGTGTGCTGGGCTGCAATTGCAGTCGGGTTTGATGGAAAGCTCGTGTTACATAACATTCATGCGACTTTCATGTTTTTTCATGTTTTCTTCAAGTATAGTCATGAGAGTTAAATGAAGCAACACAGGTGAAAAATACCATTTGAGTTGAGCAGCCAAAAGCACTTTTGGATCTGAAGAAGCTTCAGCCTTCAGATTGCAAATGAACTGCAGACCTCTGAAAATCTCTCCCCTCCAAAACCCAACTCTTAAATATTCCAAAATCCAAGAAAGCTTACAGCTTTATACTAAAGCACCTGAAATTGAATAACTTTATTGGATCATACCATAAATTAATCAACTTCACACCAGAATTTCCAAAAACCCAAAAACTTCCAAGGCCAAAATCTCTCACTCAAGAGCACAAATCAATCACCTTTACACCAAAATCTTCACAGCCCCAACAACCCAAAATTTCCAAGGCCTAAATCTCTCACGCCAAAAGCACAAAACATGCAGAATGGATCAAATTCTTTACTGGGTAGACCTCAAATATGAAAAAACATGAACAAAATTGAAATTTATAAGAAGGGGGATATCGAGTCATTTGAGAAGCAGGAGAAGGGTGTTGAGAGTATGTCAGGAAGGTGAAGCTGGGTTCAGATGGTGACCAGAAATCCAACTGCTAAGGGGGTTTAGCTTTGATTCCAAGGGAATCACAAGGGTTTGGAGGGAAGAAAGCTAACCGTTGGCCTAATTTCCTTCCTAGTTCCTGCTTTTATTTATTCAGCAAGCAAAAAGCTGCAAATCTCTCTATCTGCATCTTTATCTTTTCTCTGATAGAAAATTAGGAGAAAAGCAAAAGATTTTTATAGACTTTTAAAGTTGATTAGATAGGAGATAAAGTGATAATTTGACACTTAAGCATTTGTTAATTTGAGTTTTAGGCGGGTACGGCGCCCCTGTGTCTGTGACACATTTTCGTGTTAAGCAGTTGGCCGACGAATCTTGACAGCAGTTGCATTATTTTGGAGCTTCATGGCACTCCTCTTTGAGTTGTGTTTGTCACGTAGG